TTTATTTATTTATTTATTTATTTATTTATTTATTTATTTATTTATTTATTTATTTATTTTATTGTCTTTCAGGCTGGCCCGCGCTTTGCTGCCAAAAACAGTTGGAAGAATCCCAGAAGCCAAACTCCACCGAACAGACAAAACGTCTGCTGCTGCTGCTGCTGCTGCTGCTGCTGCTGCTGCTGCTGCTGCTGTTGCTGCTGGTATTGCTGCTAATGACGGTGATGGTGAAGCTGAGGCTGCTGTTGTTGCAGTTGCTGCTGGTGCTGCTGCTATTGCTGCTGCTGCTATTGCTGCTGCTGCTATTGCTGCTGCTGCTATTGCTGCTGCTGCTATTGCTGCTGCTGCTGCTGTTGCTGCTGCTGCAGTATTGCATACGTAGACGTGGATGAGGATCACGTGGGAGCGGCTCTTGAGGCCGTGCAGCAGTGGACGCAGTTGCATGTAAGTTCCAAACCCTAAACCCTAAACCCTAAACCCTAGAAGTAAACCCTCGCCTTCAAGTTTTTCAGGGTTCAGTGCACTCACGAAACCCTAAAAACTGCTTCTGGAGCCGCCCTTGCGTGCGAGGGTCTACACCCCCATCTGCTGCAGTCAGCTTTTAGGGTTTAGGGTTTAGGGTTTAGGGTTTAGGGTTTAGGGTTTAGGGTTTAGGGTTTAGGGCTGCAGCAGCAGGTGTGGGGTCTTTTTGCTGCAGCCCGAAGACCCTGTAGTTGTGCGGCTGCCCCAAGAGAGGCCCCCAGTAGAAATAGACCGACGGGGGCCCCCCAGCCAGTCCAGGGGGGCCCCCCTGAGGGGGGGCCCCCACAGAAGGGGGCCCCTTCTGGGGGGCCCCCCTAGAGGGGGGGCCCCCTGGTGGGGGGCCCCTAGAGGGGGGCCCCCTGGGGGCCCCCCTTTTCTTTTTAGTAAGCCTTTGCGCTCTGGCAAAACAAGAGACAGCCGCAGGCAACCCTTTTACCCTAAACCCTAAACCCTAAACCCTAAACCCTAAACCCTGAACCCCAGAAGGCGGGACGCAGTTGCTCGCCAACTGGTTTAGGGTTTAGGGTTTGGGGTTCGGGAGGGTCTAGGGTTTATAAAGCCTATTCGAGCGAACACTTTCTACGGCCCGCACTCGCGTACGAGGCGAAACCCCAAACCCTAAACCCTAAACCCTAAACCCTAAACCCTAAACCCTAAGCAAGGCTTGCCCAGCGTTTTGGAGCCAGTAATGCTGGAAACAAATAAAAATAACAAAATAAATATAAATGGAAAACAACTGCAGATTTGAATGCAACTTTAAAAAGAAATGAAAGAGAAGTTCGGCTCCAGTTGGCCAGCGCCGGCGGCGCCCGCCGGGTGTACGTACACCGGAGCTTCCTAAAGGAAATAATAAAAGGAAAAATAAAATCACTTTTCAGAAAATAAAATCCACCAGAAAGGGGCCCCACAACAAAGACAAACCTGCCCCAAAGAGGGGCCCCCGAGGGTCTTTGGGGGCCCCCAGGGGCCCCTTTTAGACCATTGGGGGCCGGTTTTAGACCACTGGGGGCCCCTTTTAGACCACTGGGGGCCCCTTTTAGACCACTGGGGGCCCCCTAAAGAGCACTGGGGGCCCCCTAAAGAGCATTGGGCCATTGGGGGCCCCTGGAGCCCACCAAGAGCAGCCGGGGCCCCAAAGCGCAGCAAAGGGCCCCAACTGGGTACTTGGGGGCCCCTGGGGGCCCCCGGAGGCCCCCGGGGGCCCCCGGGGGCCCCTGGGGGCCCCCGAGGCTGAAAAAAGGCCCCCGAGGCCGCAGAGAGGCCCCCTGAAGGCCCGCGAAGCCCCAAACCCTCGCAAACCCTAAAAAAGGGTTTATCCGACGATGATGGGGTTGACGGGCCCGTCGTTTTTCTCCTCAAAAGCCGGAAAAGTCCCCGCCTGTTGGTCCCAGTGGCCCCTGTCCCTCAAGTGTTCTTCAAAGTGCTTTTCGTCTCGAGGGATATACCCGCAGACGCGGCAGCGCCGCTTCGGCCGCCAGCCGCCGCCCCACACCTTCACGTTCGCCTCTATTATGTACAAACGGGGGCCCCCGGGGGGCCCCCCGGGGGGCCCCCCGGGGGGCCCCCCGGGGGCCCCCGGGGGCCCCCGGGGGGGCCCCCCGGGGGTTATGGGGGCCCCAACCGCCGTCGACGCCGCCGGCGTCGTGGGGGCCCCTGCGGGGGTCATGGGGGCCCCTGGGGAGGGGGTGGGGGCCCCCTCGGGGGTACTGGGGCTCGGGGCCCCCGGGGTGGTACTGGGGGCCCCCGGGGTGGTACTGGGGGCCCCCGGGGTAGTACTGGGGGCCCCCGGGGTACCAGTGGGGCTCCCCTCAGTAGCTGTGGGGGCCCCCTCAGTAGCTGTGGGGGCCCCCTCAGTAGTGGTGGGGGCCCCCTCAGTAGTGGTGGGGGCCCCCTCAGTAGTGTTGGGGGCCCCCTCAGCAGTACTGGGGGCCCCCTGGGTGGTACTGGGGGCCCCCTGGGTGCTGGTGGGGGCCCCCTGGGGGCCTGTGTTGGGCCTTTTCCTGGGGTTTGGGGGGCCCCCCTGGGGGGCGTTGTGGGGGACGGACTGGTAGAGGACGTGCTGGCCGCACTCGGCGCAGGCGTGGTAGTACTGAGTCTCGAGGCCCCTGAGGCGCTTGAGGCGGTGGGGGTGGTCCAGTGGTCTGGTGCTGAGGCGAATGGTCCACTGGTCCGGACACAAGACGGGGGCGTTGTCAGTGCGTCTGCGGGGCAGTTTGTCGAGTTCGGCGTCAGTGATGAGGACGCAGGCGAGGCAGCGGCGGCAGCGGACCACGCGGAACTTGTCTTCCATCACGTACTTGTTCACGTTCGTGAACACGCGGCTCGTGTACTTCTTCTTGTTGAACCGGTGCGCGCGCTCCGCCTCCGTCTCCCGCTCCCTCCCCGCCCCATTTCCTTGCGACATTTCCGAAAAAGGACTTTTTCCGCGAAAAAAATCCAAAAACGGCCGACAAACTCCGCCGGAAACCCAAAAGCTGCACAGGGGGAGCCGCTGCTGGAAACCCGACAAAGCCGCCGAAACGCCGCAGCCCCCGCGACTCTGAAGCCCCCAAACGGACCAAAAACACTCTAAATGCAAACGAATTCTTTTCGAAGCCGAAAGAAACCCAGAAAGCTACTCAGAAATTGCAAATGACAGACGCGCAGAGAGCCGCGGGGAAGCGCCAGCGCGCACCGCGGAGCTGTAGATACACCCCAGCAAACGCCACTCCACGAACGAACTCCAAAACCGCAAAAAGTCCGCAAAAGATTCACTTTCGATTTAATTTCCCTTTTTGCTTCGACAAGTGCGCCCCGGCAAACGCATGCAGCTCCCGTGTTCCCAAGCCAACCAGCCAGCGCGGTGGCGGCCGCCAGCCCCAGAGAAGGCCTCCGCGGGCGCGCGCAGAGATCCTCGCAGCGCAGTTCGCCAGTATTTAATTCTTTTTAGTCCAATTAAACCCAGAGAAGACGCAGAACTCCGCAAATTGCTGCTGCAGCAGCCCCGAAGCTCCCCCGGGGGGTCGCTGCGGGGGGCCGCGCCGTTTCCGCGCTGCCGGGCTGGCTGCCTCGGGCTCCGCTGCGGTGTCTGTACACCTCAGCGCTCCCAGGCCAACTCCCCCGCGGCCCCTCGCCTCTGCTGCTGCCACTTCTTTGCTTCTGCAGCAACTGCTGCCTTCTTCTCCCCGAGCTGCTGCTGCGCCTTCGCGGCGGCCGCCGCCCCGGCGCGCCCCTTCTGCGGTGTACGTACACCCCAGAACCCCGCCGCTGCTGCTGCCGCGGCGGGGTGTACAGACAGCTGCAGCTGCAGGGGCTGCTGCAGGCCCCAGCAGCTCCACTTAATCCCTTTTGCTCAACAGCAGCAGCAGCAGCAGCAGCAGCAGCAGCAGCAGCAGCAGCAGAAGATGAAGAAGGTTTTATACTTCTACGATGGTACGGGGTGTACAGACACCTCAAACGAGCCCCCCGGAGTTTCTTTTTTATTTCTGCAGTCGAATTGGAGTGTACAGACAGCTCAGCCGCATGCGGCCCGCTTCACTTTGCATGCGGAAAAATCTTTTTCCAGAAATAAAAATTTAATTCATTTAATTGCAAGTTTGTTCATAAAAGCATTTGCGAACATTCCCCAATGAACCAATCAAATAAAATGCACTTCAAATCTGCACCTCAGACCCGCTGCTGCTGCTGCTGCTGCTGCTGCCGCTGCTGCTGCTGCTGCTGCTGCTGCTGCTGCAGAGGAGGTGGGGAATTTCTTTTACGGGCCGGGGCACCCCATGAAGCCGCACCGCGTGCGAATGACTCATGACTTGCTCCGCTCTTACGGACTGCTGGACTCTTTGGAACTCATGGTCAGTCTCTGCTGTACGTACACCCCAGATGCTGAGGTGTACGTACACCCCAGATGCTGAGGTGTACGTACACCCCAGATGCTGAGCTATACGTACACCCCAGATGCTCAGCTGCACGTACACCTCAACAGCTCAGGTGTACGTACACCCCAGATGCTGAGCTGTACGTACAGCTGAGCTGTTGAGGTGTACGTACAGCTGAGGCGTTGAGGTGTACGTACAGCTGAGGGTCTTAGCTGTGGGGTGGAGCGGGGCTGCGTGTTGGGGTGTCTGTACAGCTGCCGCCGCACCCCACAGTCGAGGCTTTGACGCGTTTCCACGCAGATGATTACATTTCTTTTCTCCGCTCCACGGGAGAAGTCTTCGGGCCCCCTGCTGCTGCGCTGCTGGCCCAGCCGGAGCCCCCAGCAGCAGCAGCAGCAGCAGCAGCAGCAGCAGCAGCGGGGGGAGTTCCCGCGGGGGCGAACTCCGCGGCCCCCGTCCAGGGCCTCCCCGTGACTGCTGCTGCCCACTGCCCCGCCAAGGGGTCTGCTGCTGCTGCTGCTGCTGCTGCAGCTGTTGTCAACGGGAACGCAGCAGCAGCAGCAGCCAAAGAGCCGGCCCAGGAGGCCCCCGGGGGGCCTCCAGGGGGCCCCGCGGGGGCCCCCCCCGCGGGGGGCCCCCTCGTTTGTGGAGCAAATAAGCCGGTTCAACATCGGGGAAGACTGCCCCGTGTTCGAAGGGCTTTGGGAGTACTGCAAGACTTACAGCGGAGGCAGCATTGAAGGCGCGCGAAGAGTTGTGAGAGGAGACTTCCAGTGCGCCATCAACTGGTGAGCGACCTGCTGCGGTGTACGTACACCTGCCGCTGCTGCGGTGTACGTACACCTGCTGTTGCTGCGGTGTACGTACACCTGCTGCTGCTGCGGTGTACGTACACCTGCTGTTGCTGCGGTGTACGTACACCCGGCAGTGTGGGCCGGCGTTCTGCTGCGCTCGCGAAAACGACTGCTGCTGTGCCCCTGCGCCCCCACTGCCGCTGCTGCTGCCGCTGCTGCTGCTGCTGCTGCTGCTGCTGCTGCTGCTGCAGGGCGGGGGGGCTGCACCACGGGAAGAAGCACGAGGCGAGCGGGTTTTGTTACGTCAACGACTGCGTGTTGGCGGCGTTGGAGTTTTTGCGATTTAAACATCGAGTGCTTTACGTCGACGTGGACATCCACCACGGAGACGGAGTCGAGGAGGCCTTCTACACTTCCCCCCGGTCCGCTGCTGCTGCTGCTGCTGCTGCTGCTGCTGCTGCTGCTGCTGCAGCAGTTGCTGCTGGTGGTGCGTGGTTCGGGGCTCGGAGGCAGTCGTTGCTTCGAGCGCTGCCGCCGCTGCCGCCGCAGCTGCTGCTGCGCCCGGGCTGAGCGTGCTCCGCTGCTGCTGCTGCTGTGCTGCTGCTGCTGCTGCTGCTGCTGCTGCTGCTGCTGCAGCGTGTTGTGCTGCTCGTTTCACAAGTACGGGCACTTCTTCCCGGGCACTGGGGCCCTGGAAGACATCGGCTTGGAAGAGGGTTTGGGCTACAGCGTCAACGTGCCGCTGCACGAGGGCATCGACGACCAGATGTACTCTTCCCTCTTCCAAAGGGTCAGAGCAGCAGCAGCAGCAGCAGCAGCAGCAGCAGCAGCAGAAACAGCAGCAGCAGCGGCAGAAATAGGAGCAGCAGCAGCAGCAGAAACAGCAGCAGCAGCAGCAGAAATAGCAGCAGCAGTAGCAGCAGCAGAAACAGGAGCAGCAACAGCAGCAAAAATAGCAGCAGCAGCAGCAGCAGCAGAAACAGGAGCAGCAGCAGCAGCAGCAGCAGCAGCAGCAGCAGCAGGTGTTGGGTGTGTGCAGGTGATGGACCAAATAATGGAAGTGTACCGGCCCGAAGCTGTAGTGTTTCAGTGCGGGGCGGATTCTGTGGCTGGCGACCGCCTGGGCTGCTTCAACTTGTCGCTCGAGGGTCAGTTTGCTGCTGCTGCTGCTGCTGCTGCTGCTGCTGCTGCTGCTGTTTCTTTTGCTGCTGCCGCAGCTCTTGAACGGCCATTTCTGCTCTCCTTCTTTCGCTTCTGCTTCCCCTGCCTCCCCCTGCCCTCCTGCTGCTGCAGCTGCTGCTGCTGCTGCTGCTGCAGCTGCTGCTGCTGCTGCTGCTGCTTGGGTTGCGCGTGCAAAGGCCACAGCGAAGCCGTGCGTTACTTTTGCCGGCGCGAAGTGCCCGCGATCTTCCTGGGGGGCGGCGGCTACACTTTGGGAAACGTCCCGAGGTGTTGGGCGAAGGAAACTGCCTGCATTCTCGGCCTCCAACTCAGCCCCAGTGAGTCTCCCAGCTAGCCAGCAGCTAGCCAGCAGCTAGCCAGCAGCTAGCCAGCGGACTGCGGGCCAGTTAGACAGCCAGCTAGCTTGCAACTAGCTAGCCAGGTGGACCGCCGGGCAGCTAGCTAACCGGCCAGCTAGCCAACCAACGAGCTACCCAGCGCCCCAGCTAGCCAGTTAGCTAGCTAGCTAGCTAGCTAGCTAGCTAGCTAGCTCTCTAGCGTGTGTGGAAATGTGTGAGAGTGAGTGCGAGCCGCTGCGGCTGTTTCCTGGACTCAGAAATCCCGGAGAGCTGCGTCTACCGAGGGTACTACGGGCCGAACTACGAGCTGAAGATTCGCACGACGAACATGGAGAACCGCAACGACGAGAAGTACATCGACTCCATTGTGTAGGTTTGCTGCTGCTGCTGCTGCTGCTGCTGCTGCTGCTGCTGCTCTCCCTGCAGCAGCAGTTCACTGCGGGCTGCTGCTCAGCTGCCTCGCGCGTCTTCTTCAAATGCAGGCAGAAGATCAGCACGACTTTGCGACAACACGTTTACCCAATTGGGGGGCAGATCTCGGCCAGTGAGTCTTCAGCGCAGAAGGAAAAGAAGAATCCTTTTTTCGACTGTTTCCGCAGCGCTGCAGCCAGACGAAAGACAGCGATTCAGAACTGGTCTTTGTTTTGGGAGAACTGACTTTGTTTTGTGAGAACTGGTCTTTGTTTTGGATAACTGATCTTTGTTTCGTGAGAACTGATCTTTGCTTTGTGAAAACTGGTCTTTGTTTTGTGAGAACTTGTCTTTGTTTTGTGATAGCTGGTCTTTGTTTTGTGAGAACTTGTCTATGTTTTTTGAGAACTGACTTTGTTTTGTGATAACTGATATTTGTTTTGTGAGAACTGGTCTTTGTTTCGTGCTTGGGTCTTGTCCTTGTGCAGACTTCACTGAGGAAGAACGGCCTACGGGAGTCGTCCTGGCGAGCAGCTTTGAAAATGGTGAGGCAGAAAAGGTTGCTGTGTTAACTTCGTCGCAAGTGTTTTATTTCCGTTATTTATTTTTCCAAATGAGTCACTAATAGGGGATGTTCTGAAAGTTTCGAGTTGTGTCTTATTGTTGCAGAGGACAAGCACGGGGACAAAGAAGTCAACACGGAGCATTTCTGCAGAGTTTCGAACCCCGGCTGTGCCTGACGTTGAACAGAAGGCTCCAGCAAACCCCGTCGGATCAGCAGCAGACCAGTCTGGCCGGCAACGCAGGGAGATGCTGCAGCAGGGAAGCTGACTGAGAACTCCTCAGCGCGAGTCTGTGCACCCTTTGAGTTAAGAGAGGCCACTTGAGTTTAGAGAGGCCACTTGAGTTGAGAGAGGCCACTTGAACTGAAGCTTTCCGTGCAGCCGGGACTCAGAGCAGCCGCGAGGTCCTCTTCTTGCCTTCGGCAGTTGCGTCGGAGCCCGAAAGCAAACTGCGTTTGCTTCTGCGGCGAAGACCCCCAGCGGCCTCTTCTCGCGGGGAGGCCTCGGAGTTGGAGAAGTTCTCCTTCAGCCCCTCGCCGCGGGCCAGCGGCGCCTTGCGCTTGGCTTTCTGCAAGTGCTGGGAAGCAGTGAAGTTCTGTTGTGTGGAAGTGAAGTTCTGTTGTGCTGAAGTGAAGTTCGGTTGTGTGGAGTTGAAGTTCTGTTGTGTGGAAGTGAAGTTCTGTTGTGTGGAAGTGAAGTTCTGTTGTGTGGAGGTGAAGTTCTGTTGTGTGGAAGTGAAGATCTGTTGTGTGGAAGTGAAGTTCTTTGCGACTCACGGCTGGGGTTTGGGAGGGAATTTGCGGGCTTTGGGGACTCGGGGACTTTGAAAAGCGGCCAACTTCGCGGCGCGCGCCGGCGGCCTCCGCGTCTTCGGCGCAGGAAGCTGCTGCGTCTTGCGGCGCCCAGGCAGCCTGCAGCAAACTGACAACGCCTGCGCCGCGTGGAGGCTCTCAGCAGCAGCAAAGCTCAGCGGGACTGCCGCACCTGCGTGGTCGCCGCAGCCAACAGCCTGAAGTTGAGAAGTTTGAAGCGCGAGTTGCTGCGCAGCGCCGCGAGTTCGGCCCACCATGCTCTCTGCAGAAAGCTGCAGCACTTCGACGTGTTCGCCGCAGAGCCGCGAGGGCACGCTGCCGACGAACTCGCCGTCCTCCAGCGAAAAAAAAAGAAGACGGGAGCTGCCCGCGGCCCTGAGGCCCCTCTTGCTGGGCGCCCGCGGCGCGGCCAGCAGGCTCTTGGGGGAGCCCCCGGCGCGCTTCGCCGCGTGCAGCTCCAGGGCACTCACGAAGGCGGCGCTGCCTGCGGGGCCGCAGGGCTGCTGCTGCTGCTGCTGCTGCTGCTGCTGCTGCTGCTGCTGCCCCTGGGCGAAGGCCTCGCTCTTGGCTGCAGCGAGTGCTGCTGAGGGCTGTACGGGCAGCGGAGTGCGGGCGACTCACTGTGCGGCGAGTGCGAGGGCCACACCACCAGCAAGTTGGCTTCCACGCACTGCTGGCACAAGCCAGCTTCCCGCAGGCCTGGCCAGTGCAAGTTCAAGTTCAAGTTCAAGTCTGCAAGGACTCAGTCTTCTTCGCCGCGCGCACTCACCGTCGACGCGAATGCTGTGCAAAGTGTCCAGTTTGTTGCTCTGGAGAATCCAGAACTGCACCACGTCCGTAGATATTGTGAAGAACCGCCGGGCTCTCTGAAGAAGTCGAGATGTGTGCGTTCCCGCTGCGACAAGTTTGCAAACGCAGCACCCGGTCCAAGTACTTCTTCCCCATGATCCTCTCGGGAGCCTGCAGCTTTTGAGTCCAGCAGCAGGACTTGTGAAGAGCAGCGCATGCGCAGGCGCACCTCGAAGAAGACGAAGCCGACGGGCGAAAAGGAGTGGCGAGTGTGCGGCACTTGAATGCTCGCGCCGTCTTCCAGGAGGTCTATGACGCGCAGGCTGGCTGCGTTGCAAACTCCAGAATCAGCCTGTCTCCCTTTGGCCGCAGGACTGGGCGGGCTTACCGCGGTCCTGCTTGAATAGAAGCTTCGAGACCAAGAGCCTGAAGAGCCGATGCAGCGCAACCCGAACGCGCCCTGCGTGCCCGACTCACTCCAGAAACTCCACGCGTCTGTACTGGTCAATCGGAATCTCTATTTCCGCCTGGACAAACACAAGTGCCACGAGCTTTGCCATTTTCAAGTCTAGTGTGGCAGTCCAGGGGCTCATTACCACGCGTCGCCCGTCTTCGACGTCGAACACCGACGCGGAAAAGCACTTTGCATTTGTTGGTTTGAACAGCGCAGCAAGTCCGTGCGAAATCCTTAGTCCAATAACATGTTTTGCGGGACTTCCGTCTCCGTTGTGCGTTGGAAATACCTAACTTCTGACCAAAACTTAGAAATGCTTTTCGAGCGCCGAGAGGGAGATGCCACTTGCCTTCGAACTCCTCTCCGTGCACAGCAAAGACAAGTTTGAATTTTGTATGGTTCTGTTTGTTGCGTCGATAGCAGCAGCACTTTCGCAACTTTGAAGTGTAGTGCAGAAATACCCAAAACTGAAACGACTGCACGTCGCCCTGCTGCGCCGCCAAAATGACTCCGTTCGCCTCTGTTGCAAAAACAAGAAAAGTCCCCTGGCGGGTTCGTCTTGAAGAAAGTGAGCAGTAATTACCGTCAAATTCAAAAAAGGCGGGGTGAGACAGAACCACATTCGCTGACGAAGCACTAGATCGGCAAAGACTAATGGTGTTCGGAAACGCCTTCTTTACCGAAGTCGGAGGACATGGCGGGGGCCCTCAGTTCCCCTTTTTCCAAAGCCTGGGCGTTTTGAACTTCTGAACTTTCTCTGCAGCTGCTGCTCGTCAACTTACAGAGCCGATAAAAATTTGGCATTGGAGGCCGCCGGGGTTCGGCTCGAAGACAACGGCGACTGTGTCGTTGCTTGAGTGGTAGATCGCAGTGGTAACCTCTGCGTCGGGAACTCAGCGAAAGTTCGAAAAAATGTTTCTGAACTTGTCTTACTTTTCCACGGGGCTGCAGGGTTCAGGTCCGCGAGGAACTGCGTGGTTTGCTGCAGCGGGAGATGTGCTGTTTGGAAATTCGGCAGAGTCCGAAAAGAAAGCACCGTGTCGTAAGCTCTGCAGACGCCGCCTTCGGTTCTGCCGGAGTTGAATGCGACTTCGTTGCATGCGCAGGAAATAAGTCTTTTTTCTTACACAATGACCACACATCGCGCGGCAAAGATGATCTCTTTGATTTTTCTGCAAAGTTCTCTTCGGCGCTGCTGGCAGCCCCGGGACGCAGCCAACTTACTTGACCCCCAGGAGCGCCGCTGCCGGCAGAGGCTCTTCGAAAAGGTCAATAGTTTGGACCTTCGCGCGGCACTTGTGTGAACTCAGTTGAATTTGCAAATTCAAGTCTGTCTCACTACGTTCAGCCTGGAAACAATGGTCCTTTCCTGCGCTTTCCTCCGCCTCTGCTCCACCACTTTGGAGCGCGGCAGCAAACTGCCGTGCCTCTTTTGCGCGAGGATGTTGCGGAGCATTGTGCGGCTGTTTCGGAGAAAGCTGAAAAATTCAAGTTCTATTCTGAGGCCAACGGCTATTTCGCCATTCCAAGCAATGCAAAAACGCAAAAAAACAAATTGGCAAAAAAATCAACGCTGTTCTGCGAAAAATGTTCGAGGCCACAAGAAGCAGAAAAGACGAAAGTGACAGATCTGCGCGGCCTCTACCCGCCTGCGGTGTACGTACACCTGCGTGGCCTGTGCAGCTTCCGCGCCCCGGCCGGCGGCTTCCGCGCCTCTGACGCCTTTGAAGCCTCTGAGCTATTTTGGGATATTTTTTGCATTCAAAACAATTCAGTTTGCGCTGCAGGCTCCGGAAAGTTTGAAATTCAGCAGTTGAGCTGGGAAGCCAGGAACAGAGGCATGCAGCCCCGTCACTCCGCAGCTCTCTTTGCAACTTGCAAGCTGCTCAACAAGTCCTGCACAAAGCGCCCCGTCCGCCAGCTGCTCTCCACGAAGTGCCTCCAAGCCTCCTCTCCGGCCAATTTTCAAGTCAAGAGCTGTTAGCGGCGGCGTGTCAGTACATGCGTGACGAAGCGGACAACGGCGCGAGCGACGGCGCGGAGGGCGGAAAGCTTTATGAGTTTCCAAGTGAGCTTCGCGTACTCCCGAGCGACCAAGAGCATCTGCTGGAGCGGACTCGCGAGCTGAGAGTCTCTTCTCTCCGGCGGCCTGTGCTGAGCGCCCGTGTGCAGCCACTCTTCGAAAGAGCTGTTGGGCTGCCGCGGCCTCTGCGCGCCCCTCGCGGCCCTTGGGGCTTCCGCGCCTGCGCCTGAGACGAAAAGCGCAGAACAAAGCACTCTTTTTCAAACCCTTAGTTTGCACTGAGTCCGCAGGGGCAAGGCTGGCGCTGAGTGTGCAATGTGGCCAACCCGCACTCGCGTCAGGCCCCAAGTCCCGCTCCGTAGTCTCAGTTTGAATGCCGCCTCCTGGGAAGCGCCTCGTAGTTGTGCGCCTCTCGACGACTCGGCCGTTGCGCGAGAAGTAGCTGACTTGAGTGCCAACTTCAGGTTCCCTTCCTGAGAAGACAGCGCATGCACCGGGGCCTCAGCCTGCTGGCGAGCTGCAGGAAGCCCGCAGATGAAAAGAAAGGCCTTTGCCTCCGAAATGGCCTTTTACTGCCAAAACTTGCCCGGAAATCCCCGCAAAAGTTCGCTAAGTTCGAGATCGTCCAGCCAACTCGTCGAGGGCCGCGCGCCCGTCCGGTGTCCGAACACCTCGTGCCGCTGCGGCGGCACCCCGCCTGCCCAGCGGAAAGCGGCTTTCTGGCTCAGCGCCTGCTGCAGAATTTGTTCCAAAGAAACTCCTCCGAAGACTTTGCGAAACAAAAGCTCCGCTTCCTCGGCCGTGAGGTGGCCAAAGGAAGCGCCGGCTGCACCCACCCAGGCGCAGCAGTCCGCAACTTGAACAGGGGCCGTTCGGCGAAAAAAAAAGCGAAAGCGGCTTAAAAATAGAATTAAAAGAAAGCAATTGCAAACTTGCCTCTGTTGGCCCGCGGGGTCGACGCAAAGGGCCCCCCGTACTCAGCTTCCACCCCAGGTCGCCGAAACGAAGCCTCCAGCGAGGCATCGTACTGCGCCCTCTTCGCCGGATCCGACAGAGTCTCGAAGGCCTCGCTCGCCTCTCGAAACCGCTTTCCAGCTTCTTCCCGGTTATTCGGGTTCCTGAAAGGCCCAGATCGCACGCATGCAACAGCTGCTGCTGCAGCTGCGGCAGCAGCAGCAGCAGCAGCAGCAGCACACCCACTGGCTGCTGTTACCTGTCGGGGTGCCACCGGAGCGCCGTCTGGCGGTAGGCTTTCTTGAGTTCGTCTTGAGTGGCATTTCTCTTCACGCCGAGAATGGAGTAGAAGTCGGGAACTGAAGAGTCAGTGGAGAAGAACTGCGCAGGCGAGAACTGGCTGGCTGCTGCAGCCCGTGGGAAGCCCCTGGAGGCCCCCGGGAACCTCGCGGCGCTGCTGCTGAACACCGAAGGGGCACTTCGGCTCGCTGAGAAGACCTGCTGCTGCTGCTGCTGCTGCTGCTGCGTTGCTGCTGCGCTTTCCGGCTGCTGCTGCGCTCTTTGGGATTCTCTTTTATTCGCTGGAAATGGCCTTGTGGCCGAAAAGCCAGCCTCTCTCAGCCTGTGCAGAACAGAGGGGACCCGCGGCGGCCCTTCTTGCCGTGTTGGCCCGCGGAAGCGGCTCTGCAGTATAGCAGGCAGCGCAGTTTCACGGCCAAGTCCGCTGCGGCCTCCACTCCAGCGGAAGCTGAAGGCAGAGCCCACTGCGCGCAAAGTCTGCATCTTTCCCGGCCAAGTCGGAGCTTTCCGCCTTCCTCAGCCGCCCCCGCAGAGCTCAGCAGACGAAACTCCGGCTCTTGGCCCCGCAGGCTGCAGCCTCTGCATCTGCTTTTCAAAGAACTAGGGCAAAACGGCGCAGAACGCAGACATCCGAAGCCCCGCGAGTGGGCTGTGTTCAATGTTTGGCTTCTGTATGTTAAAAAGTAGAAAAAAAAGGCTTTTTTGCAATTTCTGAGAGAATGAGGTGCGAAAGTACTGCACTGAAGCAACCCGGGCTCCACAGGTTGTGACAGAAACATGAACTGCGAGCGGGAATGCAAGTGGTAGAGAGGCCGGTTAGTATTGCAGGTGAAATAGCATTTGAAGAAAATAAACACCAAAATAATTCCTCTTTATATGTGGAAAGAGCAGGATTCGCTCAAGCTTTTAAACCCCCCAGTTCCACCACCGAAACTCAGGGCCCCAGACATGCATGCGAAGAGTCTCGCCTTCTTCGCTGCTGGCCAGCAGATCTCTACTCATCTCTATTCCATCTTTTTTAGTATTACTACTCATTGTTTATCGGGAATAGAAAGCTATAATGCGGACAAAGTCCCAACGCACATACGAGCTACGTGGCGCGCGGTTCTCTGCCACGAACTCGTTGCTCGCTTGACTGCATGCAGAACAATTTGCGCGTCTGTCGGAGGATTTTAAATCTGAATTTAATTTTAAGTGAAATTCTTAATGGAATTGCGCTTATTTACCTGTACACCGCCTCAAAGGCCGCCACATGAGGGCCCGTCTAAGTATGCGCAGCCCAGTGCAGTTTTCTTACCTGGTAGTTTTCCCAGAAGTGGATATTCCCCCTCTTCTTATAGGTGTTCTTCTCACCTCTTTGAGGAATTCTTAGGACTTTTTGAATGTTTAAGAAATTCTTAGGACTTTTTGAATCTGTTTTGGGGCAGAGCTCCCTCAACGAAGCAGAAGTTTCCCCGTAGTCGCTGCAGCGTTCCAGCGGCCTTCGGAAACGTCTAGACAGTGACGTATGCACAACATCCTCCGGAAAAGTCTATACTACACTATAAATGTCTAAACTACACTTTATCTGCTGAAAGAGGCACATTAGTGTGTTTAGAATGAATAAGAGCTGAAACCTTTTCCCGTTTCCGTGCAAGAGTGCACACATGGTAAGCTTCCTGAAGTGGCAAGGAAGAGAGCCAAAGCCTTTCCTGAAAGACAAGAGCCTAGCCGCCTAGGCCTACAGAGGCGAATTCAATATGAACTTGGGCTTGGAGAGCCAATTGTGGCTGCAGGCTGGAAGTGGGTGAAGAAACTGAAGACAAGTGCAGCAGCAGTTGAGGACTCCAGAGGGTTCATCTTTAGTTCTGCTCCAAGTTCAAAAGATTCCTCGTGCAGCACATTCCTGTTGAGTGCAATTTTAAAGAAATGAGCTTCTTGAAGTGTTTATTGTTACTAGCTAGTGATAATAACCACTCCAAAAAGCTCATTCCTGCATGCTAAGTCTGATGTTCGCAGGAGCTCTTCTGCACGCTGCTGCGCCTGTATTTGTGCATGCATGTTAGATCTATTGAAGTTCGCGTTAGATTTCTTTTGCCTTTTTTGAGCTCCTTAAGTTGGTAAAAAGCTCTTAATGTGATCTCGAGTTGCATGCAGAAGAGCTGCGAGAGTTCTGTGACGAAGTTTGCAGCAGAATCTGAAAGTCTAGGTGAGAGCACTTCCAGCATTTCTGCTGCAGTTGCCCTAATTACAAATGAGTTAATTGCCTTTTGCATGCATAGTGAACACTAGTCAAGAAAGTGGAATTCAAACTTTCCTGTTTCTGCAAACAAGCTTGAGAAGAATGAGCCAGCGCTGCCACCACAGGCTGTTGCGCAGCAGCAAGCTTTGCAGAAGTCCCGCAGTTGTTGTAAAACGTATTCCCAAACTTTGCGAAAGTCCCGCAAGTGTTGCAAAATCTAAATTTGAATTCCGAACTCGGAACACAATGCCAGGCAGCCTACCGATGAGGAAAGCTGCCTGAGTCCATTCTGTTGTCCAGAGGCCAGCCCACCATGCCATGATCCTATCTGATACCATTCTGATACAGGGACCAAAACTAAGTGTTTTATTGCATGCAGCTGCTGAAAGTTCCTCGAAATTTACGAGAAAATGTATGCCTCCAGAGATCATTACAGTCAGCCTCCCTACTCAAAGATCCTCTTATACTCTGCCCTGACTGTGTTAAACTTCGGCAGTATATGAAGAAAACTGCAGAAATAAAAGTTTTAAACGGTGTCGGGAAGCATCAATTCAGACTACTGCGCAAAGTTGCATGTTTTGGCTCCTAACGGCTGGAGAGCAGCATCTGGTGGGGGCCTTAAGGATGCATGCATGCAGCAATACATGAAAGGGTATTCTTCATCAAGAATTGCAATCAGGCAAACAAGAGGAAAGTTGCAGCGGAAAGAAATCCATTTAAAGGCACCATGAAAGCTATTTGTTTCAATATCTCTGCGCAGCGCTGGCAGCGCGAGAGGGGAATGCCTGCCGCTGTTCTCTCGATACATTTTTGAAACACTGGCACCTAAAATGTATTCAAGTTGCACTAAATGGCAGTTTAGGAAGATGCAATCATCTTTATTCTGGCTTTTGCCTCTTGCACTGGGCAGAGCAACTGTTTTGAAGAAAGCTGAAATGATCATTTGCCTAGAAAATTCATAAACATTGTATCGTGCGAAGCTGATAGACTAGCATGCAGCTATTTGAAACGAGTTCTGATGGTAAATATGCATATTTGGAGTTAATGGAGCTTCGTATTATTTACACAGGATCTCTTGCCAGAAAGCTGCACTTGAAAGCTAGAGAAAAGGCTGCCACTTATTCCTGCCAGTCTTATCATTGGCAACCAGTTCTTTTTCCCTTTCTACAACATACGAAAGACACGCCATTTCATACATAAAATAAAATATAGGTAAAAGCCTTGAAGATGCCGTGTGCATGCGAGCACCCTGAATTCGCCTTGGTGTGGGGGCCCCCCCGGGGGGCCCCCCAGACATGTGGGGACTTCCGAGGAGGAAAGTTACCACAGGGTGACTCAGCACAACTCCACGAAGGAACTTTTGTTCTGGGGTACTGCAACAATATTAATTGGGTTGCGTGCGCCGTTCTTTGCGCTTTATGGGCTTCCAGAGGTGGTGACCATCAAGTTCAAAATCTGTTCTCACAGCGAGCCCGGGACTTCTGTCTACGGAACACGGGCACATCACTCTTCATCAATTGAAAATGCATAAAGATGGATGTGAACAAGATCGAGAAGGAAGCCTCCATTTCGATCTTTTTGCGAACTCTGCGGTTGCACGGGTATTCCGGGTACTCCTGCACGCTCAGAGGAGAGCCTACAGAGGGGCGGTGCCTTACGACATTTTCGACCCAATACCCAGCCCAAAATATCATCTAATTCTGTTTGCTGAGAAGAATCTTGAATTTAAAGCAATAAAATACCAACAAATCACTAAGTGACCTTCCTCTGCACGCTGGCAACGAAGAGGTAGGTGCCAGCCCACGGCTGCTCGATCCAAGCGAAGGGCGGACTCACTGCTTTCAGTTGATGGATAAACATTCAAAAATAAAGGCATGATGGATAAACATTCAAAAATAAAGGCATTTATGGAGTTGTCGTTCTATATTAACGAATTATGGCTCGCAGGGCCGCATGCCTGAGGTGCCCGTTGCAGGTGTGCAATGTTCAGCGCCTTCGTTCAGCCGTGTGCCTATGAAGATCCCTACTGCTGGCTGCGCCCTTGCACCAACTTAAAATTTAAACGGCTCAGACAAACTTTTAAATGACTCATAAACTTAAATTAAAGGCGAGGACATCTCAAGCGCCCCCAAAGAAACGCAGCAATTCCATTGAGAGTGGGTGAGTGTGCACGGGAGCGCGTGCAGCGCTGCGCCGAGTGCCACCTGGAAGCCGCTGGCTTTGCTGCAAATCTTACAAGCTCAATCCAGCCCCATAATTATATCTTTTAACCTACGCCATATATATCCAAGGTTACAAATATATTTAGCCCAGCCTATGTGGCTCTCAGCTTCATCTTCTTGCTCTCTTGCATGGGCCGTGCAGCTTGTGTAGGTTTGCTTGCGTGCCACTCTAGAGCTACCAGTTTAGCTGCGCAAATCTGTAAATGCTGCAGCACAATAAATAAAAGAACTAATGTGAATAAATAAAAGAACTAATGTGGTGCATTTTACTTGGATTCCACCGCTCGCGAGCTGTGGGCACAGCTGGGGAAGAGTCGCCCCATTGTTGTTATGAAACCATCTGCTTAAAAGTTAAAAAAACGCTTCTTCTACAATTTATAACTAAACCAAAAGTCTCTGATGCATAATATGCTGCTCGTTAAGCCCCAACGAACTCTGTGTGACCACTTTTCGAGAGCCTGGCGGCGGCGCTCGGGGCCCCCGCAGGCGACTGCAGCACGAAAATCCGCGAAAGTCTGCGAAAATGCCCCCACAGCGTTTCTGAGTTGATTTTTATTTGAAGTTAATATTATTATTATTATTTTTAGCGCGGCGGGGGCCCAAGTTCCCCCTGAGCTGCTGCCTGTTCGCTGTGGCCAACACCCTCCATAGTTAAGGCCCAGCCATTTCTCTGTGAAGCACTTCTGCATTTTTGCTGCTGCTGGCCCGCGCTGCTGCAGCCAGTGGTGTCCAGGGCCCGATTAGCCTTCTTCCAGCTGCACAGAAGTGCTCTTTGCTCGTTGGAAAACATTAATTGGAACTTTTTCAATAAATAAAAGTCCATTTGCCTTCACAGTCGAAGTCTCAGTGGCAGAAGCTGCAGCTTTCCCTCGGCTTGCCAGCCACTGGCCCAGTGCGGGCGCGCCTTGGCCGGGTCTCAGCAGCATTTCAGGCTTCTGCTAGTTCGACTGTTCTAATAAATGCAATAAAATGTTTTAAATATATTACAGCACTTTTCAAGACCTCACAGGGGGCTGTTCTGGGGATTCCTGCGAGAATCCCCAGACCCTAAACCCTAAACCCTAAACCCTAAACCCTAAACCCTGTTTAGCGTTTTCGAGAAATCTGCAAGCAGGCGTTTTTGGTTTGGGGTGTACCGACAAACAACAGTTGTGCGGAGAAGCTGAAAAAGTTCAAGTTGAGCAGAAGTGCAGAAAAGTGGAAATCTGCAATTTTCGCGTTTTTGCCTAAATTTTTCGGATTTTTTTTACTTTTTGAGTTAATTTTTCGGATTTTCTTTTTCTTTTTGAATTAGACTCTGCAGTTTTTGTTGTTTGCGTTGAAGCGCAGCAAAAGCCCTTCAAACGGTCCATTGCAAAGCAGCAAACCGCAAAAAGCCCACTCAATCGCCTGCATGCACGCAGTTCTCCAACACTGCTGCTGCCCCCATCCCCGTCCCTATGCACATCGAGACAACTCCAAAGCGGCCTTTTCGCCGCCGCAACTCCGGCAGCAAAGTGGCGATCTGCCGCGCGCCAGTGCAGCCCAGCGGGTGGCCCAACGCAATGGCGCCTCCTGCAGCAGCAGCAAAGCCCCCGCGCAGCTCCCCCTTTGCTGCAGCAGCAGCAGCAGCAGCAGCAGCAGCAGCAGCAGCAGCAGCGGTGGCGGGAGGGCAAGGCGTGGGCGGACCATTAGGGTTTAGTTTGTCGCGGGGGATGTTCAGCTTTTTAACGCAGTAGGCCACTTGGGAGGCAAAAGCTTCGTTCAACTCGAACACTGACACATCTTCCATGCTAATTCCCGCTTTCTCTGCAGCAGCAAGAACAGCAGCAAACAGCAGCAAACAGCAGCAAACAGCAGAGCCTGCTGCAGCTTCGAACGAGGAGCACAGGGGAGCAGCAGGACGCGGAAAGAAGCCGAGAGTACAGAGCAGCAGCAGCAACAGCAACAGCAGCAGCAGCAACAGCAGCAGCAGCAACAGCAACAGCAGCAGCAGCAGCAGCAGCAGCAACAGCAGCAGCAGCAGCAGCAGCAGCAACAGCAGCAGCAGCAGCAGCGCAGCAGCAGCGGGGCCCACGGAGCGCGCGGGGGATGGCGGCTGCGGGTCCCACGCCCATGACTTCGGGGTCAACGCCAGCAACAGCAAAAGACACAAAGCGAGCCAAAATTGGAAGATTAAAACGAATGGCAGCAGCTCGACGCGCCAGCAGCAACAGAGCCGCGCCGTCGCTCACTTGGCTGCTGTTCCCTGTACGTACACCCCAACGCAGCGATCGAAACGAAACTTGCAAAACAAAACTTTCAAAACAAAACTTTAAAAACATAACTTGAAAAACAAAACTTTCAAAACAAAACTTGCAAAACAAAACTTGCAAAACAAAATTTTCGAAAGAAAACTTTCAAAACTTTCAAAACAAAACTTTCAAAACAAAACTTGCAAAACAAAACTTTCAAAACAAAACTTGCAAAACAAAACTTTCAAAACAAAACTTGCAAAACAAAACTTGCAAAACAAAATTTTCAAACAAAACTTGCAAAACAAAACTTTTGAACAAAACTTTCGAAACAAAACTTGCAAAACAAAACTAGAACAAAACTTGCAAACAAAACTAAAACAAAACTTTAAAACAAAACTAAAACAAAACTTCAAAGAACTTTCGAAGAAAGCCTTCCAAGAGGAGTTGCGGGGAAGTGGACTTGCCAGCTGTTGTGCTGCCGTTTTTGTCGAAGGCCGGCGGCAGCTGCTGCAGCGCAGCAGCAGAAGTGTCGGGGCGGAGGCCGTCGTCTTTGTCGACAGTGAAGGCCACTTCGTTTCCAGCAGCATCTTTTCTCTGCAGCAAACAGACTTTTCAGTTTCTTCAGTTTTCAAAAGTGCAGACTTTTCAGTTTCTTTTTCAGTTTTCAAAAGTGCAGACTTTTCAGTTTTTTCAGTTTTTCAAAAGTGCAGACTTTTCAGTTTTTTCAGTTTTCAAAAGTGTAGACTTTTCAGTTTTTTTCAGTTCTTCAAAGTGCAGACTTTTCAGTTTTTCAGTTTTTCAAAAGTGCGGCCGCTTTCTGCGGAACTTGGTTTGTGACTGGGGAAGCTGCGGTGTACGTACACCTCGCGTAAGAAGCTGCGGTGTACGTACACCTCACCTGCACTGTCACCGGGACGATTTCTTCGTCGAAGCGGCCGGCGATTTGCGCAGCAAAAGCTTTTTTGTGGGACTCTGCAGCAATTGCGTCTTGTTCTTCTCGCGAGATCCCGAACCGCCGCGCCAGAGTCTGCAAACCAGCAGCAGCAGCAGCAGCAGCAGCAGCAGCAGCAGCAGCAGCAGCAGCAGCAGCAGGTGGGGCGCAGCTCGAGAGGCAGCAGAGCAGCAGCAGCACTCACGTCCGAAGTGGTCCCCATCGGCAGCAAACAGTTGCGGGCCTTCTCGTGAGAAAAAACTTCTTCGGAAACTTTTTCTGGATTGAAAACTGAAGTCATTTCGAAGTGCGTCATCGACTCCACTCCTCCCGCGAGGCCCACTTCGATGTTTCCGCATGCAATCGACGCTGCGAAGTGCAGCAGCAGCAGCAGCAGCAGCAGCAGCAGCAGCAGCAGCAGCAGCAGGTGCTGGGCTTTTCGCGCTTGAGCAGCAAAAGAAAACAAGACTGCTGCGGTTTCGCTGCTGCTGCAGTGGATGTACACCCCATTTCCAGCAGCCAGCGGGCAAGCCCCCGAGGCTCTTCATTTGCTGCAAACTGCTGCTGCTGCTGCTGCTGCTGCTGCTGCTGCTGCTGCTGCTGCTGCTGCTGCTGCTGCTGCTGCTGTTACCTGCAATTGCTGCTGCTGCTTGCAGCCCGCTGCTGCACTGCCTGTTGACTGTCTGCACTGAAGTGGTCTGCGGCAGCCCGCCCAGGAAAGCAGCAATGCGGGCCCCCAAAGCCCCGGCTCCTGGCTGCAGAACATTTCCTGAAAATAAAAATAAAAATAAAAATAAAAATAAAAATAAAAGTAAAAATAAAAATAAATAAAAAGAAATGATTTCCCAACTGCTGCGCGAGGCTGCAGCCCGGGCGCTGCCCAGCTGCTGCTGTACATACACCCGAAACGAGCAGCAAAGTTCGCGGCTTTTCGCCGCTTTTAAACGACAGAACGCAGCAAAGCCGCATGCACTGCCCCTGCTGCTGCAGCAGCAGCAGCAGCAGCAGCAGCAGCAGCAGCAGCAGCAGCAGCAGCAGCATTCGAAAGCCTTTCCTCACCAATGCAAACGTCTTCGATGAGCTTTGGGTCAATTTGGGTGCGCTTCAGCAGCGCCTCGAAAAGCACCTTCAAAAGGCTTTCGGGGAATTCATCTTTAAGTCCTAAAATGCAAAATCCAAAAAGTTGCAAATTTGCAAAATTCAAAAAGTTGCAAATTTGCAAAATCCAAAAAGTTGCAAATTTGCAAATTCAAAAAGTGGCAAAGAGAGATGCCCTCCTTCCCCCTGGGTTGCGCTTAACTAGTAAAAAAAAAGGTCTTTGGCCCACGGCTTAGCTGCTGCTGCAAGCCGGGCTCGTGTTCTGCTGCTGCTGCTTGACCCGGGGCTGCAGCAACTGCAGCAACTGCAGCAACTGCAGCAGCTGCAGCAGCTGCAGCAACTGCAGCAACTGCAGCAGCTGCAGCAACTGCAGCAACTGCAGCAGCTGCAGCAACTGCAGCAGCTGCTGCAGCAGCTGCAGCAGCTGCAGCAAACAGCAGAAGAGCCTTTAGCAGCCTCACCGCCCCTCTTCGCCTTCGTCAGCGGAGTGCGAATTGCGCAGCAAATGACGACGTCATCTGGCGAGCCGGAGCTGCAGCAAAGGAAGTGCTGAAAGTTGAAATTGAATTGCTGCTGCTGCTAATGGCATAATGCATGCAAAGAAGACAAAAGTGGAATAATTTGGAGACAAAAAGGTGTTGAATATTCCCAAGAAGAAGAACTCGGGACTAGAAGTTTCAGTCTTTCGCCGGACTCACCTCAGTGCTTGGGTTACTTGGTTTGAAATTGCCTGCAGCCGCTGCATCTTCTCCTTCTTCGGCTCTCCGAGCGCACAAGGCACTCTTCGCTCGCTCTGAAGTATTAAAACTCTAATTGTGACACTTTTTTTTCAGAAAGACACCCGAAGTTTCGCCGCGGGCTGCAGACAGAGAGGAAGCGGAGCACGGTCAAGAGAACCGCGCACTCGGCAGCTCATTCCACGCATGCGCTGCGGGGAGAAGAAGAGTTTTGGTCAATTTTGCCACACAATGTAGAAAACAAAAGGAAAAAGTGATGAAAAACGAAAAGGGAAGTTTCGCACAACGCCAGCGGCCAACTGACTCCGTGCAAACACGCGCGTCCGAGCAGTGGTCCAGGGTGTATCGACAGCGCGGCAGAATCCTCCCATGTGCTTTATAAAACCTCTTTTGGTGCTTTTAACTGTTACTTTTAATGCTAAAAATATGATTTTGAATTAAATTCGAGCACTGCATGCCTCCCACCACGGCAGCAGGTCGAGTGCAAATGCTGCTAGGTGTGCACATTTCGGCCCGCTGAGCGCTCGCGTTATCTGACAACTCTCCGCCTCAACTCCGCACCCTCCAGAGTGTGAAAAACCGAAATCTGAAAAGTGCGACGAACTTATTTAAGTTGCAGAGTTGCAATTTTGAAATTCGCAGGCAGCGCGGCGCTCAACTGCAGCGCAGCGCTGCGATCTGCTCCGTCGCCGCAGCTCTGGCAGCAACTGCTGCGCAAGAAACTCTCTTTTGGGGTATTCTACTTCACTCCAACCAGCTGTTCTAACTGGAAGACAGCGGCGGGAAGCAGCTGGAGAAGTCTCCGTGTCCCCGCTGCTGCAGCAGCAGCTCCGTTCGCCCTGCTGCTGGTGCAACGGCTCCGCGTGCGCTGCTGCTGCAGCAGCAGCAGCAGCAGCAGCTCCGCCGCTGCTGCTGGGCCCTACTCGCGGCCTGGGGAACTACGCAGAGGCGTGGGACTAGTGCTGCAGTGTGCTGCAGGTGAGCGGCAAAGAAAGAACGCGGGGGCCTCGACTTGGCCTTCAAATGTCAATACTGGGCCACGGCGCGAGTTGTGTTGAAGTGCTGGGAAAAGCGCAGCAGCAAGTGCTGCTGTGGCCCTGGAGGCGCCAGGGGCGAAGCGCTGGGCCGGAGGCCAGCAAAAAACTGAGACCAGAAAGCAACGAGGGCTCCCGCGCCCTCAGCAGCAGCAGCAGCAGCAGCAGCTGCTGCTGCTGCTGCTGCTGCTGCTGCGTCGGCAGATACAGCCAAAGCTGCGCAGCGGAAAAGTCCGGGGCGGGCCCGGCGCGCGGCCGCTGCGCAGCTGCGCCGCCTCCGCCGGCGCAGTCCTTTGTCTCAAATTAACAAGCGGGCCTTGGCGCTGCTGCTGCTGCTGCTGCTGCTGCTGCTGCTGCTGCTGCTGCTGCTGCTGCTGGTGGCTACTCCGCCTTGGGCTTCTCCTGCGCGGCCGCCGCTGCCGCCGGCGCCGCGGCAGCCGCCGCGGGTTCGGCGGGCTTCTGCTGCTGCTGCTGCTGCTGCTGCGGCTCCGCAGCAGCAGCAGCAGCAGCAGCAGCAGGCCCCCCCCGCCACTCGCTGACCCAGGCCCTGAGGGTCTCCAGCTCCGGCTCCAGCAGCAAATCGTTTATTACGTTAAGACGAGAGCTGCCCCGCAGCGAAGGGCCCAGCAAGTTTTTTTGCAAGTTCACCAGAGCCTGCCATGCGCCTAAGTCCGCAGCGTCGCGGGGGTGCTCGGGGGTGGCCCGCCACCACTCGCGGAGGGCCGTGTAGAGCTCCATGGTGAGTTCGTCCCAAGTTTGTTTGTTGACTCTGTTTTGGAAGACTTCTTCCTTGAGCCTGTCCATGAGGAAGGAGGCGAGGGCCAGCGCGTCGTCGCGGCCCAGGAGCTTGGCCATCTGCATGCAAAAGGGCAAAAAAAGGGTTATTTTGGGATTAATTTGGATTAATTTGGATTAATTTGGATTAATTTTGGGATTTTTCGCGTTTTTCGGCTAAGTCCGGCGGCTAGCCAGGCGCGGGGCAGACTCACCGCGTAGCGCAGCCGCCTCGCGGCCCGCGCGCCCCTCCGCCGCACCACCGCCGCGTAAAAGTCCTTCCAAAACTCACTGACAGGAACGCCCACAGACTCCTGGACTGCCTTTTTGACTGCAGCGTCTACGAGGCTGCTGCCTTGGGCCGCTGCGGGGGCGCAGCAGCAGTGCAGAGTGGCCAGCAGGCCTACTGCGCCCAGCACCAGCCGCATCGTGTCCGCCGAGCCGCTCGCGAGGAAGTTCAAAAGCAAAAGATCTTCTGCGCAAAACAAATTGCTGCTGCTGCTGCTGCTGCTGCTGCTGCTGCTGCTGCGCCGCGGCAGCTCCGCCCCAACGAGCCCTCCCGACTCACGTGCGTCTTGCTTGTGGGCCGCACCTTTCATGTGGGGATTGCGTTCTGGACTGCCCAGCGCGAGCCCCGCGCCCTTCTTCTCCAAACGCCGCTCATTACTTTAAATTTACTTTATTAAGTTTTTCTTTAACTTGTTCCCCCGAAATCGCCCTTTATTTCCCCCCCGCCTAACCCAAATCGCCCCGCGGACTCCCAGCACGCCGCCAGCGCCCGCACGCCTTCTTCGCCGGCCCCGCCGCCGCCCGACTCGCCACCTCCCGCCTCAGTTCGCCACACTTTGCAAACTGCTGCGAATTGCGCCTTTTTAAACTCGCTGGGCTTTAGTCGCCTCCGCGGATCTCTGCACGGCTCGCCTCGCCTCTCCCCTCGCGCCGCTGCTGCTCGCGCCAGTCTGCCCGACTCCTAACTTCAAAACTAGTTCACCACAGTCCCAAAATCCTCTAAACACACTAGCTCACTCAGAGGAGAACACGCTAGCTGTCTAGAACGGGGTAGGGCCGCGCGCTCCAGATTTGCTGGGCACGGCCTCACTCCGCAGAATCCGGGCGATACGAGAACAGAGCTAAGACTGCGCAAGGAACCCAACATTTCCTCTTTTTCCTGAGCCAGTTTTGGGCAGGGAACATTTTCTAGGGGAGTGTTGTTCGGAGAAATGCCCCAAAAGACTGGAAAAACTCCTGCTCGGGGATGGCATGGGCGCTCACTCTTGAAAGAAAGGCACGACGGCTGTCTCAAGCCATTTTGAGCCGTGTGTGTTCATAATCTTGCACGCCAATCCACAAAAATGACTTTGGGATGGCTTGTGCACCAGAGAGGAACCCAGTTATGCACGGATCAGTCGGGTATCCGGGACCTGTAGAGCAGTCTCGAAAAGAGTAGCAGGAAAGCAGTTCACTCTTTTTGCCGTCTCGACTCTCACCTTTTGTTGCAGAGATACGTATTTCAGCGTTTTGCCGTTCGTTTATAGCCTTTTCGCCCGCCATCAAGCGGTTAACAGTAGTGCATCCTGAGGAGCTTCGGAAGATAGCTATTCAGCAGCGCTTATCAGTGTGAAAGAACTTATACTGTGCCCAGCAAGTGGGCCTCATCACCCGCAAAATCACCACCCGCAAAATCTATTAGTGGAGCTACGCACGACATGCGAGTCAAATCCAGCACAGGGTCTGTCTTTTGAAGACCCTCATACGTCACCGTTGCAACAGAAGCTCTCTGCATGCGGTCTTTGCTAGATTGAAGACCAAATTGATTGCCTACTTAGTAAGCCTCCCGCTTCCTGTGTGCGGGAAGAAGCCACAACAGCCTGTGCAGCCTCCTGTATACGCGTCTGCCAGATGCTGTCTCCCAGATATTCTTGCAGCCCTCCTGCAATATATAAGCAAAGGGCCTCATCAGATATTGCATTGAATGCGCCTATGGCCCTTTTGAGTTGGCTCGAGCTGGCGGCAGACGATGCCACAAAGCCGAGAAACCTGTTTGCTAAACGGGTTTAATGGTGGCCAGTGCCCCTTTCTCTTGCACCTCTTAGTAAAGAGCTTTTGATTCTGGCCCTAAGCAGCGCATGCAAAAGCCATTGCTGTTTGTGCCCGCTATGCACTTGTGCTGTATTTAATGCTTTTTGTATCTTTATAGTAGAAAGTGTTTAGAGTTCGTAACAACAGAACTGGAGCAACGACAAGTGGCGCGGTGGACTCTGTTTCCTGTAAAGGTGCCTCGTGCCAAAGGATTACTTTGCACTTCTCGCGTCCTCCTTTCCTGTTCCTTCTACCCAGTTATTTCACTAACTTATATCCTGATGCGGCATTGAATGCCCTGTAGAACTGCGGGTGCATCAGTTCTGTGGTGTCCTTGAGACATTTTCGCATTCAGTCTGCCCCTAAGTCCACAAAAAAGATCAGCACAATGCCTGTGGGTGGCTGCATCTGTGGTGTCCGTGAAATACATCCACTGCAGGGCGGCAACGACCATAAGGCAGCCACTAGCTGCGTTAGAACTTTTCGCGTTAAGTTCAGCCCCAAATTAGTGAAACTAATCACAACAAAGCCTACAAAGGTTCATGAAAGATTCCAGCGTTCCGTTTCAGAGGGTGGTGGCGGACCAGCAGCGCCCTATCCAAACACTCGGTCCTTCAAGCTTCCTGCTTGACTTCAGCGGACAATTGTTGAAGGACACTAATGTAGTAACTGGTAAGCGGCTGTGCTCTTCGCCGCAGAGCCGCTGGGGCGCGGCAGTGCAGCTGGGTGGCCGCGTCCGCTATGCGGCCAAGGCGGCTGCGCAGTCCCAGCGCCTGGTTAGCTTGCTAGGAGGTTTACTGAATTTTGGCTTTGTGCTGGCTGCGTAGACATCTCCGGTGCGGTCTCGCCGGCTAATAAATCTATTCCTGAAGCACAGTTCCCACTTCGCGGGCTAGCTTTCCATCTGTTTCCCAAGGCGCTTTCACGACGAGCTGCTGGCTTGAAGTATGAGCCATGCGTCGCGCCGCGTTACTCTGGAGCAGCAACTATGCGTAGTGCACCAATCCCAGTTTGTGCAGAAGCCCAATATACCGGCTAGTCTACAGTCTACTACACCACGAAGAACTATTGTAGTGTTGAAGTGACCAGCGCAAACATTTAAAGAAGCCGAATAGCTTAGTTCCTGGCCAAAATACTGCTAAGCACCAAAGTAGTGATAAACTGCTCAGTATATGAGCTCTCGGCCTTTCGAGAGCTCATCTCAACTCTAAGGGGGTTACCAGCACAAAAATTTGACCAAGTCCCAGAGCTCGCACAGTCTAGCCACCCTCGGAGCCATAACCGTCTAGAGTCTTCACCGTTTATCTGGACTGCAAGCAGTAGTGACCCGGTGTGGTGTGGACAAAAGTCTAAGCGCACACTTCTTTTCCTCGCTTCTCTCAGATTTGCACCGAAGGAGTTGGTGTGCAGAGTTTAGCGGCTAACGTTTAGATCATCTAGATGCCGCGCGAGGTGTTATCTGTCTAGCTATTCATGAGTTATAAGGCTTCTTTGCCTATTTACAGTCTGTATAGCCACTCCAGAGACGAATCGCCCTTTGGGAGTCGGATTAACGCGCCTGGCACCTATATTTGACTGGATACCATCTATACCCGATTCCAAGATTTGGTGTTACCATGGGGCACAAAAAGTCGTATTTCAGACCCTGTCAGGTATAATTTGTACGCGTAGTTGGTGCACCCTCTGCCGATGAATTCTTATAAATAATCCCCAGGCTATGGATGCTGGCACATAGAATCCGCAGCCTTTTTGCATGCCTGAGATTCAGGCGTCTCATGCCACATGAAATGCTTGAAGTTAAGCTGGTAGATTTTGTACAATCGCCACACAGCGGCAACTGTTGGCTCACAGAGTCAGGAAAGAATCGAACTTCGCGCTTGTAGAAGCATCTGTGGAGTTTTGACAGCTGGCTTCGGTGTCCTTCACTGAGCCTCGCAGTTATCAACAAATAACATGGCAGGCTCATTGGCCAGCCTCGCAGAGCCGGAGGCTAAGGTGAAACTAACATGCTGATGAAAAACACGCCAGAGGCAATAGCGAACCCAAGGAACTTGCAGCAGAGGGAGTCTCTGCCGCGGAGTTCAAACTTTGCTGCGGCTTCACAGCGGTAACTACAATTTGATATTCTTCACTTTAATAGCTATAAGGCACGGGATCCACTTGCAGCTCACTGTAAAACGCTTTGACAATAACTTTGTACTTTTTGAATCCATCTTGCACCTGGCTTGCGTAACGTGGGCAGCGGGGAAGAGCTGCACAGCGTGTCATGAAACAGCTGAAACTCCAATTCACGCAGTGTTAACATCGATTCGGAAAGTACAAGCCTAATCAAAAATGATAATCAGGGTCCGAGAGTGCTCGTCTCCATGAGGCGAAAACTCTCGCGGGTAGAACGCAAAAAGCGCTGCAGCGCTGTAAGCCGTTCGTCAATTTCGGAGAACACAGCGCGGCCTGCCGACACAGTTGCGGGTGTGCCTCCCTTCCCCGTGACAGTGGGCCCTGTACTAGGCTGCGAAACAGGCCCCTTAAGGATTGTGCTTGTGGCCGCTCCTTCAGCAGCAGCTTCAGCAGAAGACAGCATGCGGTGTGCAAACAGGCCAGTATCGGCCGCTTGTTTACTTAAGGGAAGCCGCAGCAAGGACGGAAGAGATGGCTCATCTGCCACTTGCGGCATTTCCGCTGATGTCGCGTCGTTTGAACTCGCGGCTGTCAACGCAGAATTCTCCTCAAGGGGCCCGCCGGGGTCCTCAGGGTTTATACGAAGGCTGTTATCTACTGTCTTGCTACAGAAGGCTCTTCTGGAACTAGTTGTGCTGCTTTCAATATCCCCAGGAACAGGAGGGGGCTCGGACCGTTCCAGCGGCCGCAGGCCATCTCCGCATGCAGAAGAGGCGGAAGACAAACATGCACTTGCCTGGCTCACCAATTTTTCCTTCAGGTTCTCGGCTGATCCCTGGCGCTTCAGCCGCTCATACTCCACTGCTGATAACACGACGAATGGCTGCTGCTGTTGCTGTTGTTGCTGCTGCTGCTGCTGTGGAATATGTTGGGTGCGGTCTGGCATTTGCTGGCAATGCTGAGAGCCAAAAGGCGGCAGCAGTGCATCTTCGTCACACTTCGCCTCAGCTGCGAACGGGCTTCTGTGTCTCATGCTGCATGCAGCTGCTGGCCTCACGGACCCCGGGACGCCTGGGGAGACCAAGCTGCGGGCTGTGTCCTGCCCAACAAGGCTTCGCATGCGGCAGCTGCCGCCATACCTTGGAAGAGTTCCTTCGGCCGGCGGGGGCGGGCCCGTTGTACTATGCAGCGAGCACTTTGCTGCGTCCCTTGCCAACGCTCTGTGGCAGCATCTGCAGGAAACAGTGTCACTTCTAGGGACACACGCAATAAGCTTTTGCAAACGCCGCTGCACTTCGCGCCACACACAGCAGCAGCAGCGGAAAGCTTACGCAGCAGCAGCAGCACTGTGTTGCTTCGTAGGCGCATAACTGTCGGCGGCCATCGTGTGGGGGAACCTTAAGTCCGTTGGAAGCTTTCTGGGTGACTGCTGCTGCCTTGAGTGCGTGTGAGGGCCCCTAGGGGCTGGAAAGCTGCTGCGAGCTGTCAGCTGCGCACTGGCAGCGCAGCCAAAATTCGTGGGGAAGCGCGGGCTGTGCCTGCTGCAGAAGCTGCTGTGATTGCTGCTGCAAGCCGAGCCGACGGAAATCGACCGCTGCCGTGCCCGAGACGAGGCTGTAGAGGCCATCAAAGATGCAGAAACTCCTAAAGCCGACCCAGACCGGCCAATATGGTTCCCCCCTACAGGCTGAGAGGGGCCCTCTTGCTGTGGCAAACTCCCGAGGCGCGACCTGCAGCAGTCACTCAGCAACAGGATGCAGCATTTCCCTTATCAGCAGCAGCTTCCTCTTTCTATCCAAACAGTTCTCACGCGAATTCTGCAGCGGAGCTTCGACGTATGACGGGCTATAAGGAAGAAAGCAAGGGCTCTGGAATCCTAAGAGCTCAGCCCAAGTGAGGCACAGCGATGACACTAATGTGCTAATTTGTTACCGCGGGGAGTGGCAGACGAGGTACGGAGAGTATGAGCGCCCCCTTCTAAGGGCCGCCTGGCGCGAAGGCAGGGGGCGGCTGCGCGTGGGAGAGGCTGACGGGGCTCGCGGGAGGACCCCGTGCCTGTCAGTGGGGGCCTGCGAATACAGAGGGGGCCCCGCTGCTCTTCCACACGGTACAGGGGCCGTAGGCCTGCCCCGAATTGGCTCTTTAAGTGGCTTCCCCGCAAGACGGCTGCTCCTCTCGGCGGCGACGGCGTCGTAGGAGGAGCAGCGAGAAGACGCAGAACGCAAAGCGGGAGAGAGAGCACCAGAGGAAGCCACCGACCTGCAGCAAACAGCCAGAGCACTAAATCTGTGGCCCTGTGGCCCTGTGTTTGGGCTTTCCGACTCCGGCTGCTGGGACCTTCTTACCTTCGAAGGCGGCAGCTGTTTGAACGCAGTTGAGCCTCTAATTCTCGAACCTGTACGACAGGAAAACCCCAACTGCAAACCAGGAAACTAAACCCTAAGCCTCTGGTCACAGTGCTTGCTGCAGTCTGCTGCTGTCTACTCCAGTCTAAGTGCGCCTCAGCAGAGCCTGGCGGAGGTGCTCCATCCAGCAACTCTCGCAAGGAGCAGAACTGTGAAATGCCCGGCAGCAAACACTTATCCATGCATGCAAGCGTGCGTACATGCGAACAAGGACGCAGGCTTGCAAGCAAGTTCATGAGCACACAAAAACATTCAGTAAATAAATATATTTCGTGTATGTGGGCGTATGGGTGTGTGTCTGTGCGCGCGCTTTGGCTGAGAGCCAGAAAGCGCCTACTCTCAACCTGAGTGCAGTTTCCACCCTCCTCATCTTATCGATTTCAGTTCTAAATCTGTGCATCTCCTTCGCCCGCAGTTGCCTCTCTGCCTGCAGTCTCTGTCTCGCCATGAATAGCTCACTCTGAAGCAACACAAGCACAAGGTCCTCCTCAGCTAAAGTGGGGGCCTTATTTCTATTCCTGGGGCCTCTGGCAGCTCCAAAGGCATCCCAAGGGCCCTGCCAGCCGTCAAAGGGTGCGCAGCAACAAAAAGCAGCAGCAGTCTTTGCTATACACGCGAGGCCCGTTTCTATCTGAACTTGAGCAGCTCTTGCTGGCTTTTGTTCTGAAGGAAACAGCCCCAAAAGGGGAGCCGAAGTGACCCCAGGCCTCACCTCCACTCTGTGCAGCTGCGCTGTGAGCCCTTGGGAGTCTGCGTAGGCGTCTCGGAAGGAAGGCGCGTGCAGCTCCTGTTCGCATGCAGCAGCAGCAGCAGCAGCAGCAACAGCAGCAGCAGTACCTGGTGCTGCAGCACTCCCCAAGCTGCTTCTGGCGCCCGATTTCTTGTAAGATAACTGAAATATGCCACTGAATATTACTGACAAAATGCAAAGAGGCACTGCCCTGCTGCCAGCTTACGTTTTGCCTTCTCGCCTCCGCCAGGGCTGCCTGCTGTTCTGCGACGAGGGCCCTGAGGCAGGCCAGCTCTGTTGCTGCTGCAGTTTCGGCTTCCACAGGGAGGCCGCGTGCTGCTGCTGCTGCTGCAGCTGTTGCTCCTGCTGCCAATGCTGCAGCAGCTTCGCTTGCTGCTGCGGCCTGACCCTTAACGTAGTGAGGCTGCACAGGACTTGGTTGGACCTCGCAGGGGAACTGCTGCTGCTGCTGCTGCTGCTGCTGCTGGCGGCTCCTCCCTACAGCTACGGGGGAGCCCATTGCAGGGGCCCCCAGGGGCTTGTCGCTCGCTGCAGCTGGTGAGGCTGCCAGCACGTGCTGCTGCTGCTGCTGCTGCTGATTCAGCTGCTGCTTCGTATTCGCCTGTTGCTGCAGCGCCGCGACATAGCTACGGCATGGGATGCCTATGGAAAGGGGGGAACGCGGTGTACGCTGCTGCTGCTGCTGCTGCTGCTGCTGCTGCTGCGCGGCTGCTGCGGAGGCAGCATGTCGGGTGCAGCTTCTGGACGGGTCTGGAATGTGCGCCGGCGAGGCAGCAGGAAGAGCTGCTGCTGCTGCTGCTGCTGCTGCTGCTGCTGCTGGGGCTGGAGCGGGGGCTGCTGCTGCTTTGTTCGTGAGCGCGAGCGGGTAGTGGACCTTCTTGCCCTCGACAGCCCGCGTCACTATGAAAAACAACTTGGGGTCTGCTGGGCCCACCTTGTGGGCCTCTTCGAGGGCTTCCTGCCCTTCGGCTCTGCGCTTGAGGGCCTCGAGGTCTGCTGCACTGCAGCAGGCGACACATGCAGGGGCCAAGCGATCAGCAGCAGCAGCAGCAGCAGCAGAAAGCGAAGGTGCAGCGGCGCAAGACTGCCAGCAGCAGAACTCGAGCAGCTGCAACAAATGGCTTTCAAATAAAAAACGGCAGAGAGATTGGCTATGCTTCTACTTATACTGGTCTGAAAGGTCTTCTCAGACTCAAAGGCTTGTTCGACCTGCTGCATGCAATGCGAACTGCTAACCTCCAGAGATTGAGATAAGCTCCTGCTGCTGCTGCACGATCCGAGGCGTGTCTTGTTCCTGCTGCTGCTGCTGAGTTTGCATCTTCCGCTGCTGCTTGCACGGCTCCCCGCAGCAGCTCCCAGAGAGCTTGGGGAGAAATGGGCGACCCCGTGCGGGCTGTGAGGCGCTGGAGGAAGGCCTCTGTGTACTCTCCTTCCCACCGCTGCGCTGGAGCCCCTTGCGTGGCTTCTGGGGAAACAGAAATGCGCATCAAGTGCTGTGAGCTGCGAGGGTCGGGCCGCCACGCAAGTTCCACCGTGTACTCTGTCTGAAATCAACAGCAGACACGGCAAGTTCTGGAAACAAGAGCGAAAACTTGGAGCCACGCGCCACAACCTTCACCTTTACTGAAATTTATGCATATCTTAGAAAGTATAACAAAAGAAGCGCCGCCTGCTAGAGATTTCTCGGTCTGTGCGGATGTTAACAGAACCACTGCCGACGAAACATGAAACATTCAGTGACGGGACTCCCGGCTGCCTTTACATGGGCCCCTTTGGCCGTTTCATGTCATGCTGGGAATCTCTTAAATAGGATAAGCTGCTTGCCTGCCTGAGCAGCACTTTGGCTGCCATACTGTTATCTCCTTGCGCCTCCCCCAGAGGTGGCCGCGGGCCCCTCAGCGCACCGTCTGCGCCTTTAGCCGTCATTTTGATGACCTCTGAAAAATAATGGAAGGATCAGAGCCCCCTTGGGGGCCCTGTAAAGCCGACGGGGAAGGAAGTGCTTGCAGCTGCGGTGGGTGGTTCAGGAAACACGTAGCGACCCTGATTTCAAGCCAGTTGAATCCGCTTCCGCTGCTACCCAGCGGGTACAGTTGAAAACTAGGACAGATCATAAGTATAATCCATCTATATAAACTAACCGCAAAGCTAATTATTGCCAGCAACCCTGGAAACAAAGAACGGGCTTGGGCCGGGGCCCCGTGGGACTGGAGGCGCACTGAGAAGTATCGGGCTCTGCCTTGACGCCTAGAATATCAAAACACCAATAGAAAAAATAATTGCCATAGCACTGACGACAAAATGAAGCTTCTAAAGAGCACGCAGCGATCTATCTCTGGGAGCGTTCACCTTGCAATTGCCAGGAGGGGCCCCTTCCTCCCATCAGAGCTTAAATAAATTTGTCTTCCTCGAGAAGTCTCAATTGAGCCTCGCAAACAGCACTTTTAATATTTAATATACTAATTAAAGTTGTGGATGCTGTGGATTTCATAATTATGCGGGTAAAAATCTCCACAGTGAGCTGCCTGCAGTAAAAGAACAACCATTTAGGGACATTTTCGGTCTTGCCCGGCCTAGTCTTCCCTACCAAAATGGAGCTCAGCGGATAATGCAGAATCCTCGGTTTTCTTTTCGTGCTGAAGGCTAGCAGAAGACCTAGCGACCAGGACCAGCGCAGCGTTACTCTTGTCTGTAATGCAGTGTAGTGGCCGAGCAGGCCTTAACTTCTTGTGTGTGTTTTTAAGGTGTTGACACCCTTTCAGCGTCACCTTACGCGCATGGGAGTGCCACGGCATGCAGCAAGATAAGCCAACCTTCCATCCGGCATAAAATCCTTTGCAGACTGGGTACAGTGCCCCGGGACATCCGGAGCTCGACAGACTAGAGAAACACACCAATCAAAGCAGCTGATCAAACACTCTGTGCTTTTCTTTAAAATAACTTATATTTATTTTTCTCGTCGAACTCCTGTTACGCACAAACTCTCTAGCAAGCTACGGCCACCTTGGCTCGCACAAGCCTCTCCTGTTTTGGCTACATAGGTTCTTACCTAGCATTTCGAACTTAAGGCATTGTCCATGCATAAGACCCGGTCTTGAATTCACCATGTTAGGAGAAATTTTTTAAGGGACACATTGTCTGTTTCTGGATGCTTCTCGCTCCCCCCTGTGGCCGTGCCACGCACTGCAGCTTCAGTTTCTCTCAGGATTAGCAATCGAGCTGCAGAGCACACTTCTAGTGATGTAAACTCAAAAGGCTAGCAAGGCGTGTCTGAACTGACCTTCGGTATAGTGGCAGGTGTTTGATGGGTGTAAAGAGAACCAACATGTGATGGCTCAATCTTTTTTCCGCTACTCGGTGTGAATGATGCCTATATGGCTTAACTCAAGTTAATGCTGACCTCAGCAACGCACAACTGCGCCAGCGCCCATTTAGTCGAGCCCTGGCTGAGCATGAGACAGCATGTTTGTGATGAGCGATACAAGGCCTTGTTGTGTTGTGGCAGCGTGGTCACCTTACTAGGCAGTGGCCGCTCCCCTCCAGCCACCCAGTGTGACTTCAGGTCCGTTCGCCTCCTAGCCCCTGACGTAGACCAAGTTCCGGGATGCACGCACAATATGCTGTAAACGTATGCGAAAAATTGGGGCAGGGCCGCTCAGTTTTGGTGAGAACTTCCTGTGAGGCCACCACTCAACGCCACCTACTCAGCGTGAAATATGTCATGAACAAAACAGCAACGAGTGATGTGCGGCCATTTTACTATCACTGTGATAGAATTTCATGATGCTACTCCTAAAAGCACTTGGCGGACAGTAGTTACGCTTCCCTACTGTACCCGAAATGATTATTAAGAGGTATGAGTGTCCCCAACGTGGACAGTTTCTGCCACAAGGGGATACAAGAGGAATGTTGCATTCTGCGGAAAGATCCTGCCCCTAAAGGTATAACGCCCCCAGAGAACTTGCGTACTCTTTAAAAATTCGAGGTGCCCTTGCGGCCGCTCATCAGTGTCAAAGTGTAGGTTGCGGGATACAAGGGAAAGGTGGGAATTCCGGAAACATTGAAAGTAGGAGGATCTATGCTAGAAAGAGACCCACCAGTTACCTTGGCTACGAAACAAATATTTAGCAGCTGCTGTTGCCAGTGGCAGAGCCTAGGCGCCTTAGAGTGGAGGGTTTGTGGCCGGTAGCTCTGAATGTCCCGCTGGCCTGTGAAGGGCATGCACTAGCAGTGAAACTAGCTACCAAAAGTAGTAAATGTAGCGTGCCTGTGTCGGCAGTGCGCCTTAGTCGCTAGATATGTCTTGGGTAATTGTCCAAGCATATGACGGGCTAGCATATCACTCCACCAGCTTCAACATGAAGATAGGAGGAATCAGCAATGCACCAGAAACGTACACAAAGGGCCTCAGATAGGTCAGTGTCCTCGGCCGATGTTGGCGAGGTAGTGCCCGAAAAGTTTGAAGTATGGAGCAGTACACGATACAGCCAAAGGGCAGTTACGTGCTCCACCCTGGAGGCCTTCACCGTAGTTTGAGTGGTGACCATGGTCGCGACTATCCTGCATTCGCACGGCGGCCAATGCGTAATGGAAATGCAAAAAGATACCATCTGGCTCACAGAATGAAATCCAACCTTTGCTGCTGCACAGAGGAAAATCAAAGTGTCACAATTTCCTGGCTACATCAGCTCACTAAGCCCGCGTGCGCTTACCAGTGCTGCTCCTCTGAGGGGTGTTGACGTCGGCTCAAGCAGCCTGCGCTTTTCAGTGAAATATTGGGTTTCTTCTAAGCCTTGATGGTGCTACGTGAACTGTTAGGAGTTTATTCAGGCCTTTAAACGCAACTTCAGCATCAAAGTTAACACAACGAGAAGGCGTGTGTAGCCTCTTTCCTCATGGATACCGAAGTTACACCAGTGCTGTTCCCAAAAGAACCCCCCAAATAGACCGGATAGCAATTCACTTCTTTCCCACTTTTCAGTTGACCTGACGTCTGAAACTGATCGCTTCTCAGTACTGTATCAACATGAAACAGGAAGAATATTTCCTGCTCTGATGTCTCATCTTGAAGCCTTGGGGCGTATACCCAGCTGTCGTGCACACATTGGTATGCGGGTTATGAAAATGTAGTTGTTGAGTTGGTTTATAAAATACAAGCACTGGAAGTTTTCAGCTAGTGAGTGTTAATTTGGCTAGATCAGAATTGCAAGGAGACAAGCTCCGTCTCTGTCTCTTGTGTCGTTTGGGGGCCTGGGGCTGTTCGCCGCTGCCTCTCTCTCCACCAGCTGTTATTTCTCGCTCTAACTGTCTGCCCCTCTCAAATTGCTTTTTCCTTTTAATTGCAATAACATATTGTATTTCCTTCCTGCGAGCACTCGGGTGTTGCTACAGCACAGAACCTAACACCTGTGAGGACGCCCCACTCCCATCGCACCGACTCACCTCTTCGCCCCCCGTAGGCTTTACTGTGTCGTTGAGCATTTAGGGTTAAAGTTTCATCCCTCCGAACTGTTTTTGTTTCCATGTATCAACTACTTCTGCGTACCGAAGGCTCCCGCTCCAGTGTTGTCTTTGTCTCTGGTTCTCTCCTATTTTTCCCGACGTTTGTATAGATCCTCCATAGTGGCTGTTCGCGTTTCTTCTTCTTTTCCACAACCTTACTTCCCTTTGCCAGGACTTTGTCTTTCAAGTAGGTTTGAAGGCAACGGTTTCGCGGTTTCTTGCCTGGGCCGCTGCTTGTCCTCAGTTTGTACATCTATTTCAATACAAGATGACGGGAATGGCACAGACGAACGTTGGGCCTCAGGGTCCACCCAGCCCCACCGCCGACGCCTCGGCGAAACAGGTGAGGCCCATTAGCAAAAGATTAGTCAAGTAATTGGTTTGGTAGAACTGCTTGGATTGTGTTACTAGCCACCACAATGAGCGTCAGTTACTTCATAACTCCTGAGTTGGGGAAATGGCGACCAAGCTAGAAAGTGGCCACAGAGGTGGCCGTGAGTAATTATTCGGCATTTTCTGCGTTCTGCTATCCTTCAGCTTTCCCGCCGCGCCTTCGTGCCCCCCTTGCCATCAGTTTTTTCCTCCGGAGCCGTGCATGCAGTGCAAGTGGATGGCGCTTCACTACTGAACGAACAAGACAAACAAATGAATGCACCGTTTCTCCTTTCACCGCAGGACGAGCAAATACTGCGCGGATTGTTTCCCCACACCATAGACACCCCATTTGTGCGCATCGAACCTGCCCATGCATCCCAATCATCCAACTCTAAGCCTTTGAACGTAGGCGTTGTGCTTAGTGGAGGGCAGGCTGCAGGAGGCCACAATGTGATATGCGGGGTGTATGACTACATACACAAGCTGAACCCTGAGTCAACTCTCTACGGGTTCCTTGGTGGACCCCACGGCGTCTACAGCGGCAACTACAAAGTACTTGATAAGAACACAATTGATAAGTACAGGAACATGGGGGGGTTTGATATGATCAAGAGCGGGAGGCACAAGATTGAGGAGGATTCACAAAAGCAAGCATCACTTGAGGTAAAACAGGCGAAAATTCCTGTTTCACCAGCCATTATCCACCTATGCTGTCGGTAGCTAATCATTTATCCACCTTTACATGTCTCTCAACACATTCATGCATTGGCTATTGTGGACGCGTAGAGCAGTGCATATCTCCACGCGAATACCTATGCAGACTTTGCTGGGAGTTCGTTACAAAATAAGGTGCTGTACGTAACTCCATTTTTCCATCTTATTCAGGTTTGCAAGAAACTGAATTTGGATGGCCTGGTTATAATTGGCGGAGATGATTCCAACACTAACGCTGCGATCTTATCTGAGTACTTCAAGTCGAAAGGGAGCAAGACAAAAGTGATTGGATGCCCCAAGACAATTGATGGAGACCTGAAAAACTACTACGTGGAGGTCTCTTTCGGCTTTGACACAGCATGCAGAGTGTACTCATGCGCAGTGGGGAACCTCATGATGCAGACGCTCACTCAAAGTCAGTTTTGCTCCTTCATTGATAAGCGATTTTCCATCTGGACTTCATATTGATTGCGAATGCTTGTATACATCCATGCGCGTTGGCGTTGGGGGGCGTGACTATGAGTATGCGTGTATAGTGCGTTGGTCATGAAACTCTGCAACAACGCGCATTATGCGGTCCTGTGCGTTCCCGTATGCTTGTGCGTGCTTTTGTGCTTATATTTGCTCAAGCATTTTTAATGTGTAACTGACTGTGGGGATGTGGAGATCCGCAAATGTTCGTTTGTGAAGTACTACTGTGAATGGAGCCTTCCATCAGTTTCATTGTGTCGTCTGATGGTGTGTTATCGTCCCATATCATATTTACCTTTCATCAGGCCTTTCCCTTGTTTGTCCTGATTTTGGTTTCTCCTTGTTCCGCAGAAAATGTGTACCAGTTTGTGCGTCTCATGGGCCGTAGCGCCTCTCTTCTTACCTTGGAGTGCGCACTGCGTTGCCACCCGAACATGACATTTGTGGGCGAGGAAGTACAGGCGAAAAAGCAGTCCCTGAAGGCGCTAGTAGCAATGACTGCAGATCTGGTTGAGGCACGCGCAAAGCTGGGGAAGCATTACGGTGTTATTTTGCTTCCGGAGGGGCTCATTGAATTCATTCCGGAGGTGAGGAGGATATTCGCTGTGTAGTGGATTTATATATATATGTATATATACGTAGACACACGGAAGTCAGCCCTTCTGTCGAGGTATGTCTATTGAAGCATGAACAATTAGGTGTTCGATGTGCGCCGGATTACCATACGCGTTCAGGTTGGGGTGCTGATCGGAGAAATTAATAACATTGTCGCCGCTGGCGAGTTCGACAGAGCGAAATTGACTGCAGCAAGTCGAGAAGTGCTTGATATGCTGCCTCAGCATACACAGCAGCAGTTGCTGCTCGACAGAGATCCCCATGGAAACGTGCAGGTAAGAGTTTGCAGCCGCGTGCAAACGAGGCTTGATATAAGTTCAGTTCAACTTGTCGGGTTATGCCACGATTTGATTATCGTCTTCACCCATGTTCAATTTGGATTGCCTTTGTTGTATGCACAATTTGTCTGGTTTTGAACTTATGCGCATTTCGCAGGTAGCGCTGATCCACACTGAGCAGTTGCTTCTGGAGTTGACTACCGAAGAGCTCCACCGGAGAGGCTTTAAGCACCCCTTCTATGGGCGGTGCACTTACCTGGGGTTCGTCACTTCAAGTTTCTATTCTGCCTCCAAATACATACTCATATTGGGCTTGTTTGTACTTTCTCCTGGTATCCGCAGGCCCTTATGACTTTATGTTTCTGGCTTTGCTATTTTACAGATATGAGGGCCGCAGCGGCTTCCCCAGTGATTTCGATGCGACGTATTGCTACGGCCTGGGCAATGTGGCGGGGGCTCTCATTCAGAACGGGGTACGTGTGGAAGCAGAAAACGAACTAATTAATTTAACCCCAGAAGGGCAAACCTAGAGATATGGGGATGTTGTGCTGTTATCCATGCGGGCAGATATAGGTATGGCTCTGTGAATTATGTGCTTCATTGAAATGTTCTAAAGGGCGGATGCTGTTTTTGGCTGTCCTTCGTTCATGCGCCTAATTTGCGACTGGCTTGCCGGCGGCGCAGGTAACAAGCTGCATGGCTGTGCTTAAGGGTATGAGCAGCAGCAGCGATGTGAGCACCTGGGTGCCTGCTGGCGTGCCTCTGACAAAGATGATGAATCTAGAAAATAGGAAAGGGAAGACGAATGTTCCCGTCATCAAGAAGTTCCTTGTAGACATAGAAAAGCCCCTTTTCAAAGCTTTTGAGCAGGTATTGAGGAACACGATGAGCTGGGTTTCTTTTTAAAGTGATAATTGTAGATCAACGAAGCGTTGTTTGGGGAAAGCGTAGATCAGTTATACAAACTGAACAGGAAACAAAGATTGCATCATATGCACAGGTTGTATGATGCAGCGTTGAACTCATTCGAGGGATGAAACTTAAACGAGAACTGGCGCAGTACTCACAATATACGAACTCCTGCAGATTCAACCGACGTTTTGTCCGTTTTGTCTGTTTCAGGTCAGAGAGGCATGGAAGTTGCTTGACGCGTACTTGGTGCCCGGGCCGATGCAGCTGAATGGTGAAGAGCTGCAGCTGCCATATACATTGACAGGCCCTCCTCCGCTTGAGACGCTGCTGCCAGCAACGGCAGCAGCAGCATATAAGGACAGCGCGCTCCTGCAGCAGCAAGGGTACAGACACTATTTCAGCCTGTTGCAGCACTTGCGCTCCCCGCTTCAGCAGTCGAGGCAGAAGTCTTCCATTGAGGTGCCTCAAGGCCTGCTGCAGGCAGGGGTAGTCCTCCAACCCACCGGTGTCAGGGAGCTACTGTCGTCGCATCACCAGCAGCATGTCAAGCAGCTGTTCCCCAAAACAGCAGCAACACAGGGAGGATTGTACACTGCTGCTGCCGGTACACCTGAAAAGAGAAGGGTTGGCATCATCCTTGCGGGAGAGTCAACTCCCGGTCTGTCGAATGTTTTGCTCGGCATTATTGAAAAGTAAGAGCACTGCTACTACTGTCCGCGTACTGTCTGTTTGGGTGTATACATCCATTTGTGCGTGTTTTCGCACATGTATTCCTCAAGCCTTTAGATGTTAGTTGGCTGCATTTGTGTATGGTGACGGGTTTCAGCTCGACGCTGTGCCCATTTGCCGTTCTTCGTTTCGTTCCTTTTTGCTTCTCTTGCGCAGAGTAACTGCAGCCGGAGGCGAGGTGATGGGCATCTTGGGCGACGGTAGCTTTACCAACTTGTCTCAGATGAGAAATGACATAGAAATGCAGAAGAATCAAAATGCTTTCCCCTTCCTGGGTCGCACTGTGCTGGAGGAACAGCAGCTGCTGGCTCCGGTGAGGTTTCCTAAGTTCGTGCTGCCAAATTGCAAAAATAATATTACAGGTGTCCATCTGCTTCTTGAGGAAAGTGCAATGAATTGTGACTCTGGCTTTTTCGTTTTTTTATGTGCTTCTCGCCTTCTCGGCTGAGATGGGCTAGCACAAATTGTGCACAGCTCTGCGCTTAGAGCTTTGGTGCATTGACATGTATAATTGTAGTAGCAATTGTTTTGCTTTTTCTTCGCGTTTTTTGCAGTCTCAAGCGCCTGTATGTTGTCCTGGTTGTGGTTGTGGACATTTGTTTACAAAATTTTCCCAATGGGGGCTCTGTGTCTTTTTTTCAGGGGGGCGCGTTGGGTTCACCTGCGAACCTTGACGTTTTGGTGGTACTGCGTGGGACCTTTAGCGGTTGCGCTTCTCTGGCTGAGCGCTTGGCGGAACGGGGTGACAGATGCACCGTGCTGAATGTGTGCGGTGACAGCGACTTCTGCCTGTCTGATCCTTCGAGTTTCATGGATGCAATGGAACAGATATCTGGATCTGCTATTACCTTCACTGATCAGCAGAACGATCAGACGATCGCTTGCGAAAACACACGCAAGCTCATCAGAGATGCAGCGGGAGCACTTGCGCTAGGATTTGATACGCAGACCAAGGCGGCCGCTGAACTTGTCGGTGGGTTCTAAGCTAAACCGAAATCGCGCACTTCCAAGTGAATCTGGATCGAATATACGGTGCCAAAGTTCTAATGAATGCACGCGACTGAGTACTGATTACCTGGCTACTGTGGGCATTCGTGAAGAGTGAAGCTGACGTGATATCTTGTGCTCTCCCGCTTCGTTATATAAAACCTTGAACCATCGGTCCCTGCACATAAGATGCACAACGGGCGGTGGAGATAGTCTGAATTTTTAAGTTGGGCTTAGCAATGGCTCCTGATGAATCTTTCCATATTCACAGGAAACTTGATGACGGACAGCAACAGCGCGGCAAAATACTTCTACTTCTGCAAAGTGGGGGGTGGAAGAGGAGCAGAGGCTGAGGTGGCGATGCAGACACATCCGAACATGGCTCTGATTTCGACTCTATATGCGGACAGCCAGCCTGTACAGATTGCAGAGGTAAGTATCATAATGGTGTGCTTTAACGGCTAAGAACTGTGCATTTGAGGCCAGCTTAGTGCACATTTCAATTGCATCTGCAGAAACGCCGGTCAAGGGTGTGGGGAGGTTACGTCAGAATTTGGCGAATCAGTCTATGTACATCTTTGCTGTACAGTTGCTTTATTTTTACTGAATATAGAGTGCACTTCAAACGTGCTGCAGTGGACAGGGGTTCCCTGCCATGTGCGCTGTTGCTCCTCCTACGGAACATAGTGATTGCATGTGAAGCAATATTTGTTTACGCTACGGTGCACAATGCATTCAGTTTCCTGCAGACGTAATTACCTACGACACAATGAGAGCTGCTCGACGTTTGTCTTGTTAGTGTATTCCGTCACTGCTGTCTGTATTTTCGGTCGGGTCGTGCAAACTATCTCTTTGGCCATTCCCTATATATTTTTTTGCCGCTTTTCTTCTTCCTGTCCTCTCTGCACCAGCAAATCGCGGACTGCGTGGCGGCTCGTTGCGCTCAAAAGAAGAACTTTGGCGTTTTGCTTTTGAACGAAGATTTGTTCATTACCAACAAGGCTGTGAGTTAACGAGAATACATGTAACTAGCGCTATCCGCTGGGTCGATTTAGTCGACACAGCGTTCAAACTTAATGGCCACTGGAGTTTCAATGATTTTGGTGCCTGCATTATTGTGACGGTGACCCAAGAACTGCCTCTCGGCGTGCCTGGATACTGCAGTCCGCATTTAACTGAAAATAATGCCCAGATTTTTTCCGCATCGGATCATTAGAAGACAGTGGGTATCATACAGGAGCGGTTGGACTTTTTTCGTTTGTTTGGTGTCTACAGCTCCGCTCTGTCGCCGTAGCTTTGGCCGGTAACAAGGGTAATCCATTAGCCCTTTCGGGCGCTGATCATGCCGTCTTCACCTCGATTCCGAAATCTTTCCAACAAAAGTTGGTGCAGATCTTCGGCACCCCGGGCAATTTCCCCTTGAAGGCCGCTAGCTTCCCCTTGCATGACTGTTTGGCTACAATGGTAAGAGGCAGACAGGCTGAATGGCTGTAATGCAGGGTCATTTTACAGGAGGTGAAACTGACACGCTTTGTTCCAGTGGCGTGCATATCTGTATATAGAACATGTATGGATGCACGAGACGTGCGCGGACAGCGGAGCGGCCGCAGCAGCGCTTATGGCTCAACAATGTGAATATGTGGGTCAGCAAAGGAGTTACGATTTGTATAAGAGAATGTGCTCATGCTCAACTGATTGAGACCGTCGATTTGATCTCCTGCAGGTTGCCAACGTGTTGAAAGAAAGGAAAGCCGCCGGCAAGTTTAGCGGGAGTTTCGCTCCTATCTGCTTCGACCTCTCGGACCAGGTATCCTCCCGTAAATACAAATTTGTGTGGACTAACGAATTGTCCGGATATATGCCAGTCGTAATTTAATGAGCGGGCTAAATTTGAGCTGTATATTTATTCCATTCGATTTATGTTGAAAGCCCCTCAGGAAGTCAGGAGCTCTCTGAGCGCGTTCCATATTTCCCTGTTATCAAGTTTGTTGCTGTTGCTCAGCCACCGACGCGGCTGTTTTGTCTACCTTCACCTTGTTTCCTTGTTTGCAGTGGCACATTTGCTTATGTTTCTTTTTCTGGCGCAGGTCCGCGGATCCTTCCCTTCCGCGTATGACTGTAGCGTGGGCTACACACTGGGGCTGCTGTCCGGCATGCTAGCTGTGTCTCCCGCTCTGCAAAAGTTACCAAGTGCTGCTGTCTTAATTAGTAACCCTACCTCAACTGTCACTTCCTTATCTCCGGTGGTGGTGCCGCTTCCGGTGGCGGCGATGGCATGCGGACTGAAACCCAGCAGCGGCGCTACTGGTGCACGCAGAGGTCTTGCAGCAGCTGCTGCTGCTGGTGCCTTCGACATTCAGTTGCACACCCCCACCCAGAATGCCGCGGCTGCAGCTGTTAGCATGCAGCTGCAGCAGCAGGAGTTCCTACTTAAAGACACATACCTCAACAGCGGCCCCATTCAGTTCCATTCTGTGCCGGGCGCAGCGGATGCGGACAGGGAGTGCAACTTCCTGCTCAGCAAAAGCCTCTAAATTGACGCAGGAAAAAGCTGCCGATCCAATTTATTACTATTTGAACAAAATGTGAAATCAACGAGACGATGAGGTGGGCAGTAGTGACTGTTCTGAGTTGCGCACTGACACCTGACTGGTCTTGGGACCAGTTTGACTTGTTTTGTCATTTTTGTAGTCCCTCCCAAGTCGGGGTGTACGTTACTGAGAAATAACAATTTAAATCGTTAAGATCTATTCTTTTTGTTTTCTGGGCTACCTACAAGCGCTACAGTGGACAAATGGTAGGCGAATAGAAGCTAGGCGCTTCCCAACGAAGTACTCTGCGGGCTTCGTTTCAGGTAGATATGGCGTTTACTGATTGCATTTCAAAGGGTTTAGTGAGTCCTCTTATGTTCAAGGCTCGTTTCGTCAACCAAATTCCGTGGATTTTGCCCCCGTTCTCCCTTTGTGGCTCCAGGGGGAGGGGTGGATGGCGGCGCATAGACACACTTTACCTCCTCACGATTGCTTAGTTTCTTCATTGCTACAAGAATCAGAACTCTTATGAACGTGATATGGAACTAGATACCTTAGAAACAGAAGGCGGGACGCGTTGCCCTCACTGGTCTTCTAGCTTGCGCGCAAGGCAAACACCATCGGTTAAGGGCACGGAAGTAGAGGATCACCTATTACTGTTCGCCTATTCTACAACGCATATAAATTAAATTTTTGTCCGGAAGATTATATTTCATAAATGAAAAGGTCGCGGGAAGACAAGTTGGCATTGAACACCCCAGCCTGTGGGTTCACAACCAGGCCGTGCATTGCAATCCTCTCGAAAAAATTTGCATGGAGGCCAAAAATGCAAAAATTTTGCACAATTTGGTCACTCAACATGTTATGATGGCCAACTGAGTCATTTTTTCACTGGAACCAGCCGAAGCCAGCCAGAAGGACCGCTGCCAAAAGGACCGCTGCCGTGCACCGAGCGGAAACCATTGCCTCCCCGCTCCAGCTAGCCGCCCCTTGGGGGGTCAGGACACAAAAGGCTCCGGACTTCTGCGTCATTCACTTTCTATTTGTTTACTTCTTAGACGCCCACGGCACATATACGGACTCTGTGGCACAGTAGAATGTGTACTTTCTCCTGTTTTTCCCAACTGTGCCTCAGAGGGGGCGATCTTGTCTGTCTAGTTCGATTGTGCACACTGCGCACAGCTGCAGTTCTGCTTATTAGAGTAGGTGGTTGAGATTTATTTATGAATGAACTGTTCATTCCACCTTCAATTTGTCTTTGAATATCATTTGTAATTACCCACAAACCAACAACTGAGCTCGGGAGCGATGCCTGTCTTTGCTAGCATGGCGTGCCGAGCAATTTTACTCTGGAGCAACGGAGGGTCAAACAGCTTCATGTGACCCGGGGAAAGGTCTTAAGCTGCTAAAACCTATTAATTGTTTCTTTATGTATCTTCTTTTGTCCGTGTTTTTGCCCTAGAAGGACTCGTACCCCACCCCTATGTCCACCAAACCACAGGAGATCCCGAAGATGGCTTCTTTGCTCTACGGCAGCGCATAGACATGAGCAACGCTTCCAGCTGGTCCACCTGGTCTTTATTCCTTTAAGTAGTGCTTCCTTGGCCGCGCTTGTGCCCTTTGTTTCCATGCGCTTTAGACATACGTCCGCATTTTGCGCGTGCGTTTTTGCCCTTCTCTGGAGTTCACTGCTTATTGTGTCCCCCCAAGAGCAGTCTTCTCTCTGAATGAGTCAGGATACCTCAGCATACGTATAGAGCAGCGAGTGCTTGCTCGGCGCCTTGCCTATTATCTCGCTAAGGAAGGACGAGCGCCCTGCAACACCGCAGCTGGGCCTTTCGCTCCCCGCAGCACCGCCAGGGGTAGTGACAGCAGCATTAACAGCAGCAATAGTGGGATCTGCTGCCGCCTGCAGCTATAGGATTCTGTCCCATTTCAGCCCGTCGCTCCCTGACTATTTGTTTTGTAGGACCCGCGGCCTCTTGATACCATTTTATTATTTCGGATCGTCTTTTGTTTTAGGTGTTTTTGGACCAGGCCTTCCTCTGGTTCTTCTTTTTTTTTCGCTAATCTTCCCCAGTGATGCCATCCAACGCTTCTAGGACGGCTTCTGCCGTTTCTTCTTTTTGGCCTATGTCTTCTGCGTGGCGCTCCTGCGCCCTCCATAGCAACAACGACAGGAGCATAGCTAGTGATTGTAGCATGTGTTCTGGGGATAACAGGAGGGAGGCACAAGTCCCTCGTCTGAATCCTCAAACCCTACGTCTCGAGGAACTCTTCCAGGCAGTTACGAGTGCTTCTCTTACTGTCCCCCCGCAAACCCAACTGCGCATCAACCAGAACGCGCCTGAGCAGACCCAGCAGCAAAAGTCGCAAACGCAACCTCGGCGAGTGCAAAACATGTCTATTGAAGGCGTGATGCAGGACAGCCCCGCAAGTGATTTGCTGAGGGCTCCTTTAGATAGGGTAGAATGCCTTGAGCGGGTCGTTGAGGACAGAATCAGCAGCTGCAACAAGAGCAAAAAAATCGAGCAGCAGCAGTTACTGCAGCGCCCGTTTCCGCAGTGCTTCCCTCACCAGGAACAAGTGCAGCAAAGGCAACAGCCCCCACTGCAGTTGCAGCAGAGGCCCCCTGAACTCGACTTGGCATCTCATGTAGGCTTTTCCGGCCAGCAAAAGCAGCAGCAGAAAGAACAGCAGAGTGAGCAGCAGCTGCCGGCCGCGCCCTTGCCAATGCAGCAGCAGCAGACTTTAGATGCGCATACCCGTGCCCAGCTGCAGCTGCAGTTGCAGCTACAGCTCCAGCAGCAGCAGCAGCCGGTTGAGGAAGACCGTGAGCACAAGCAGCAGAAGCAAGACAGTCAGCTGCTGGTTTCAAATCTGCCCTCTTTGCCACCTGTGCCCTTAACGGGGACCATCCTAGCAGATCGGCGGATCATATTTTACCGCACACAGATGTGTCCCCACGCGGCTCGGGGTCAGTGCAAGCTGGGTAGCAGCTGCCGCTTCGCACATAAGAGGGAAGAGCTCAGGCCCCCTCCTAGACTTGATAAGACAAGGATTTGCGCATTTATCAAGGCTGGTCTGCGATGCGCAAGAGGTGAGGTTACAAGGAGTCCAGCTAGCTGGGTAGCTAAAGACGGAAGATTTGTAGCCAGTGAGGTAACGAGCTCGCAAGTTAGTCGTCAGCGCTCCAACTACCCAACCAACTATCGGGCTTTAGTAAACATCTTATTTTTAGGCACTATGCATCACACTTACTTACTGTGTACAACATAAACGCTACACAGCACACTAGTCCTTACCTAAGCAGGGAGCTTCAAGCAGTAGGGAGGCTTGACGCCTGTTTGACTGTGTGCACTGCTGGTAAGGCTCGGAGAATGATGATTAGCACCAGAACTGGATTGCAGTTACACATTACGTGCTGTGCTGATTTGTACTAACACCGATGGTGTAGTTGTACTTCCACGCCTTTACTGGCTGTCCGACTTTTTGTGCTTCACGTTGCAGGCCCTGCCTGCTCGTTTGCGCACAGCCGCGACGAGTTGCGCTTCACTGCTGCATTCTTTAAGACGAACATTTGTCGTAGCTGGATGTCTGGCCGCTGCCTCCACTCGGATACGTGCAATCATGCACATGGGATTCAGGAGCTGCTATTTTTTAGGACCCTGGCGGTGCAAACAGGAGCCAGAGACTTTGTCAAAGAGAAAGGAAGGAACGAAGCGGATGCTGCGGCTGCCGCAGATAGTGCTGCAGCAGCAGCGGCGGCTACGCATAGAGGGGTCGACAAACATCAACACCACCAGAAACACCAACAGCAGCAGCAACTGCAGCAAGAGCAGCAGAGAGAACCAGCACAAGGGGCAGAGGCAAACTGGAATAATGGCAATGAAGTTAGCGCAGCAACGGCGTTGCTGCAGGGAGAAACTGGCTACATGCAAAAGAACGGCAAAGCGCTTACGCAGCACCAAAAGCAGCAACAGCAGCCGCAACAGAAGCAGCCACAGTCGCAGCAGCTGCAGCCCTACCATACTTTGGAGAATCTACCAAAAAAGCTACTAGAAGCCTTACAGCAAAGCCTGCAGCAGCACCAGCTGCCAGCAGATCCCCTCACCAAGTCATTTGTGCAGTTGGTTTCATCTGAGCCGAATCAGTGGCATGCTGCAGCTGTGCCAGCAACAGCAGCTGCTGCTGTAGCTGCACGTGCCACTGCAACGACGCCCGCTTGTAAAGGCATGGAGACGAAACGCCTCAAGCGAGGTCGAGGAAAGACAAAGAAGGGAACACTCAGGCAACGAAAGGAACAGCAGGGAGTTCCAAGGCTGCCACTTTCTCCAGTGTCTATGCAGCGTGACAGGCATCCGAAGACACAGCAGAGACAAGAGCAGCTTGAGCAACAGGGACAGCAAGGGAGCGAGCAAACTAACCCAGTAGCTGCTGCTCTGATGCGGATGTTGCGGGCCTCAGATGAGACACTAGTTGGCCCCAGTGATGGCGAAGCGATAATGGCTGCCACCAAGCAGCAGCAGCAGCAGCAGCTGCTGCTGCTCTTCGCACAGCAACATAAGATAAGCGAGGACTTGCTCTCCCAAGTGTCGCTTTACGGAGAACCGAGATGCGGCTTCAAAGCAGGGAAAGAGTCCCACAAGGTACCTTCGCAGGTGCTCCCAAAGTATGCCTTCAACGAGCCAGCCAAGGGCTCACCTAGGGCTGTGGTGCGCCCTGTGGGAGAAGGCAGATACTGGGACCTAGAAAGCACTGACAGCACGGAGACTGTCAGCAGTACGACACACACGCCGGGAGAGACTAGCAGGGTTAGCAGTAAAGAACAGCTTGTAGTAGATAGCCGGGAAGATTGGAGCGATCTCAACCCGTCGCAGCCACAGCTGCAGCAACTGCAGCACCGCAAGTGCTCGGGCGTGTTGTCTCCGTTCGACTACGCTGATATATTAACAAATGTGAAGGAGCTAAAGCAGCTGAGGAGCGGCTCAGCAGCAGCTTTTGATCGCGAAGGAGGACGCCTCAGCTCTTTACCTTGCTTTTCCCGTCGTGAAGATGATAGTTTCAAAGATATGATGTAAGATTGGGAGACAGGGAACCCTCGAATGGCGCTCTAGGATGCACTACGCACCCAAAGAGGCTGCGTAGCGGCTGGCGGCGGTTTGAGAGGGAGCGAAGAGAGAATACAAGCTCTTCTTGTACCTGTTTGCACAAGCTGCTTCAAAATATTTTTTGCTGTGGTTCCGTTTGCTTGTTTGTCTATGTAGCCGCCGTTCTATGTTCACGCTAGGGGAGTGGATACGAACAAGCATTCAGAGGGTGCACACGGCTTCTTATTTGATCTTTAATTCTTTGTGATTTTACTGGTGATGTTGCATTTTCGCATACTGTGCGATCCGTAGTGGCTGTAAGCCGGTGTTTGTATTCACGCACATCAGCCTTCAGCCTTGAGCATGTATACACACAAATTTGTCTAGTGCTTTGAATTGTGTATATTTATTTGCAACTACACATTCACGTACTTAGACTTGCCTGGATTATTTTTGTAAATATTTGCACATGTATATCTAAATGCATATTTGAAAATATATTTTCATATGTCTACATTTATTTTGATTAGATTTGTAGATGCTTGTTGCGCTGATATTATTTGCACTTTCAGGTGAACATGAACCGTTTGCCACGAGCATATTTATAATACCTTATTTGCATCAGTATGCTCACATACATTTGCAATTATGTATTTATTATGTATTTGTGCATTATATATTTAAGCAGCCAAGGATATGTTTTGGCTGCACAGGGGTGGACGCTACTCTCCCCCGGTGGGACCGTCCTGTTCCTGGCGTATGCTGCGTGCTTGTGTGGTGATGCCACGATTGTTTATGGCTCTGCCAGTTCATGAAGTATATCGCTATTAGTGTTTGATTAGAAATAAGTGCATTCATTATTAAAATCAGGGGCAGACCAACCCGCATTTCCATATTATTCGAGGCTTGGGGACCTGCTGCTTGTTGTTCGTGGTAGTGGTAGCAACTACCTAGTATTGTTTGTACATTTCGTGGTGGCGACAGCTTTGTCTCCTGCAGTGCAATGCAGTATGCTTACACTCAGATGTAAATGATGCACAAGCCACTAGCAACCGCTTACATATCCACATGCACTTTAAATGCAAGCATGGGCTTGCTATTGTATGCTGCTGAATACTTAAACCCCTGAAGTGGGGATCTCGGCAGGGGTGCCATTGTTCTCTTTGCCGTTCGAACTCCTGCTTTGAAAATAAACTAGTGCATGAAAATGTATTTGGGTGAACTCACCGTCCCTTACAAGTGATGCGTTCACCATGTATGGCGCGCACTTATTTCCGTGCATACCCAGTGTGTGTGCACAAGTCGGGAGCCGTCGTGAACAACGTGGCGGCGTGGCATAACTAGTTGCAGTGCATTATATGCATTAGGCCGTAGCCCGCCGGCGCAGCATTGTAGCTGACCCTCAGCTGTGCGTTGGGGACCAATTGAGGTATGCTGTTCCACATCACACGAGGATTTAGCGACTCTACACTGGAAGTGCGTGAGGGAAACAGCGCGCGCACTGCAAGCCTCTTATCGTCTGTCTGTACAGTTTACTCGTAGTATCTGAGCACGGGGAGGTAAGAGTGCGATGAGTAATGGTTGGGAAGGTTAAAATTCTAGAATTGACAATTGAAGTTGAAGTCAAGGAAATGGCGCGATAGCATATAATGAGAAGAGGCCCGAGAGTGACAACACTAAAGCTTAACAACGCAAAGTGAACGCACATGAGTACGCAGGTGATTGCCACCCAAAGCATAAGGAACATACTGAGGCGGACGGAGCAGAGATTAGTGAATCTGCGTAGGAAACACTAGATAGCGTAGTTCAGAAACACAACTGCTAATTTTGGGTGTATGCAGGCAGCCCTAACTATCCTTCCGATGTGTGAATACAGTAAAGCTTAACGCGCGAGCTATGCGGAGTTGTCACGGTGGCCCCAGGGCCTCCAGGGCCCCCAGGGCCCCGAGGGCCTCCGTAGCCCTGTGGGGCCCGTGGCTGTCCCGCAGCCGAAACCATAAAATATTTTCTTGAATGTCAATGCCACACCATGTGTAACGACTGCTGTACAAACATATACACATATTTTTTCCATGCTTTTACAGGCAAAAAGTTGGCTAGCCTAGAATGCGACCGTTCGAAGGCGCTGCACTGTATGCAAAGTAAGTACGTACAGGGCTGGCTTGGTGTTGTCGCAGCTCCCACCGGCATGTGTGGCCCACTGTATTCGGCGATGATACGGATTACTAATTTACTTCCTAAGCGTCACAACCAACTTCGTTTCGTTATCTACGCGTGCGTTTGGACGAAAGGCCGGCGCCTCTGTTGGCGCAGCCCAAAGATGCCGAAAACTACTACATTTGTAACGTCACAGAGCTAGCGAAAAAGCTATGAAGCGCGGCTGGAGAGCCATGACACCTTTTCTCGGGAGCAGCTACGCAACAGATCTAGTATGTAACCGTATGCTCGGTTTGGCTTGATGCAATTCGGACGCCTACCCACAATAGCTATCCGCCTGTTCTGCATGCTCGCTTGTCCTTAAGGCGTGTGGGTGCACGCAGACTAGAAAGATCTCTGGGTTCACTTGATGTAGAACTCACACCATTAGACTTTGCAACTGCTGGTTACTCGTGAGAACTAACGAACCCATCAAGAAAAAGGAGATCCACAACGTTTGCCTATTAACAAGCTCAGGTTTCGCATATCAGCACCATAAGAGGTGCGTCACGTCTTCCCAAACGTCTGTACCTTTCAGTCCTGAAAGCAGCAGAAGAGCACACATTCAGGAGCATTCTGTGTACAGTTAATGCCTTGAATTCAAAGGTTAACTGCTTGAGCTTACCAGTGTCGACCATTTGCTTAAGAGACGGGTTAGCTGCTGCCGCTCGCACTCTTTCCTTGTCCTTGAGCTGCTTGTTAATTGAAGCACCAGACGAATGAGAGCCAGCTATTATTGAAACCTCCACTGCGGCCGTTTCTGCCTTGGCTGCTGCTGCTGCAGCTCGCTGTGCCTTCACCAGCAACAGCAAACCTATCAATGTTGCCTAGGAACGCAAAAGCAGGGGCAGCAGCACTAGCACTCACAGCAACAGCAGCAGCACAGCTGCCTACCCGCCGGGCAGCCGGCACATCGACAGCAGCACTTCCAACACGAACGTTTGCAACGAAAAGGAGCAGCAGCAGACCACACGTTTGGCAAAAGTTCTAGCGGTAGTCACAGCTCCAGGAGAAGCTCCCGCAACATTAGCAGTAGTGGCAAGGACAGCAGCGGTGGCAGTCTCATGTGCTGCATTATGTGGCATGCAGTGCACGGACGAGCTCTGGGCCAGGCACTTATGCCTTGCCTGTGAACAGTGAGGAATTGTCGGGCGGAAATTTATCTCCAGATGGAGTCCTCGAGTTTGCACCCAGTGCTGCAGTTGCTGCTGCTGCGGCAGCATGCCGCTATACATGCCGCTGCTCCGTTCTCCTGTAGAGCTTGTGCTATAGCTACTGCAGCTGTGCACTTTAACATACTCAGGGGTCACCACCATCAGCTCCTCCAGTGTGTATGGATGTTCAGGATCAGTTATGCACCTCACTGCTGCGTATACTTCCTGAGGAAACAGCGAAGGACAGACGCAATCACAATTTGAATCTCAATTGGATCTATAGGCAGCTGCTGCTTCTGCTGCTTTCGTGCTACTTTTCAAAAGACGAACAGGTGAACTCCCACCTGAGCAGTCAGCATCTCATTACGAGAAAACATGGCCGCGCGCCGTCGATCAATCCGTTGAACCATGTTGTCCTTGCTGCAGCTGCTGCTTTTGCTGTCCTTTCTGTCAATGCAACTGCTACTTGAGCTCCTGCACTCGGGCTTAAGCCTCTCCTTGCTCGTGCCTGCACAGGAGCTTGTGGATGCTCGAGTGAGGTCACCAGGCGGCCGAGAAGTCCTCGACGGCAACTTCGGACTAGCATCGGCAGCTGACGCTGCTTCTAATTCTGCATGTGGTAATTCTGAGCTTTTTGTTTCTTGCTGCGAGGCAGGTGGTGCAGCTGCTTCTGGGTCCACTGCGCAAGAGGGCGCTGTGGATCGTTGACACTGTGATTCGTGTTCATAGCTGTAGGCAGCAAGGGGGGAGTCTGAAGTCATAATTTGGCTGTCTGCAAGCAAAAGCTTGCGTTCTTCCAAAAGAAGCTCCTTCACTTGCTGTTGTTGCCACCGAAGGTCTCTGTTGCTAAGCAGAGGACGAATGCGGGGCAACTGCGGTGGCGGGGGCCTCCCGAGTTCCCTTCTTTGATGAAACAGCCCACTCGCTGTTTTCCCGCAGAACCGATGTGGCCGCAGAACAGAGTAAAAATCCGAAGTGAATCGACACCGCGGGAAAGTGTCCTGCGGCCGCTGCACTTGAGGCGTTGGGTTATCCCCTTCAGGCATCATTCTGGTACGTTAATTTATTCCCGACAGCCCGTATTTCATTTTCTGAGCAGTTTAAATGAGGAGAATGATGCGCAAGGGATCCGTGTTTCAGCCTAGCCGACACAAGACAGGAGGGAGCCCAAGCCACGTCACCATGCGCTGCATGCTCCAGAACACTGAGGCTGACCAAGCAATGCTCCTTCCTAAGAAAAGCCTTGCCGTAAAACCAACTTATTAAGTACATGAACATTCACATAATTTTATTATAGTCATTAAGCTTAAGGGATGTATAGGCCGTAGTCTTCGCTTCTCTCGTCTGCAGTCACTGCTAAGGCTTTGGCACACTTTGGGAGTATGGTCAAGCGCACACCCCAGTTAGCTCGCGACAAAGAGTAAAATTAAATAAGTATGGATAAAGCTTTGTGAATGCTGCAAGAATGTTAGTAAGAAGGCGGCCGTCGTAGGGCTGTTGTCGCGATTTGCTCGAATGCCCAAGGTCTCTCCATAAGCACCAATGCATCATCCCCTGAACTTCTATAAAAAATCTAGTGCTACATGCACCAACGCAGCTCTTCTGTACGAAAGCCTTGTATAATTTGGCAGTGCGCACTTTCTTGTGCGAAGAGCTCTTTGAAGCCCTACTTTTTTTACACCAGAGCAGCAGAGAAAGGCAGAGCGGGTGGGCCGCTGGCTTCCACTTTAACGTTTCCTCCCGGATTCGTATTTGTATTTGGCGGTATTATCATTTCACATCAGTTTCGTGTCAATGTTTTCGCCGTGTTGTCAGCCGAAGGGCGCTACATATTCCCTCTGTTGGTGGCAGCATCAGGCAGGCACTGCTTCGCTGTCCAAGTTGTTGCTTTACGGTAGATTTCAGCCCATTGAACTTTCCACCGCTGAGTTTCAACACTGCTGTGCATTCCGGGCCTCCCGATTGCTCGACTCGGGTTTATCTCCCAGCTAACAAAACAGTGCCTGTGGCGAGTGACATGCCAGCTCATGATTAATTTGCGCTGCCTTCATTGCTTACTTACCCCGTTCAGGGCAGCAGGAACTAGCCATGTCGTCTCATCTGCTTTCCTACGTAATTAGTTCACTGACATCTGCACATCTCAAAGCGCTGCCTAGGGAATATTTGGATACCTCATTGAGAGGGTGCACTCTTTTTGGAAGCCTCCGCTCTCCCCTTTTTGTTTCTTCCTCTTCTTCGGTTTTTCTTCACTTGTGTGGATCTACCCTGAAGCCTAGAATTAGAAGTGTGGGGTGGTCATACTTTGAGTGGTTCAGCTACCTGTGTGTTCTGCGGCTGCTTCTGTTCTTGCTGCGGCTTGCGCTGTCGCTGCCGATTCTTTTGTGAGCGTTGCTGCTGCTGCTGCCGAGGGGCCACTTCAAGCTGTGTTCCTGTTTGTTGTTGTTTTTCGTGTTGCGAAGTTCGTGGCTCGCGCTGCTGCGCCGATAGCTGTCGCAGCTGCTTCAGTCGCTCCCACTGCGCACGCGGTAGCTTGCGGCTGCTCTTATCATCCCTAAGTTGCACATCGCCTGTGCTGTGTGTGAGATGCGCTAGCTCTTTATCCCCGCTGTGCTGTGTGCTCGAGCTGCAGTCTTGTTTGTGAAGTTCGTCATGTAAGTGAGAAGCGGACACGACGCCCGAAAAGAGTCTTTTGCAGGTGGCCCAATCTGCTGCATCTTGATTGTGAACATCCCAAACAGGCTTTCCATGTTGCTGATTTGCCACAATAGGGCCCCCGGCTTCTGTTCTTTCTGAAATATAGTTCTGGTCGAATAAGTTGGCCAGTGAATGCGGCCAAAACCAGCTGCCGCACCAACCCTGAAGTTTACCAGCAGCAAGCCCAGGAGCCGGCGGTGGAATCGTCAGAAGTGAATGCAAGTGCTGTAGCGACCTTTGGTGAGGCATCCACTCCCCGAGTTTTGCGTTGACTCTTGACCACTCTTCACTAGATTTGTCATGGTGCAGTAGTACAGCGGGAATGGGCTGGCGTGCACATCTGTTTTGAAGCTGACCACATAACTGTGTCTGAAACTCATGCAAGCTGGGCTGCCAAACACGCCCGAATGGGTCTTTGGCCACGGAGCCGCTTGCAGTTAATTCGGAGAAGCCTGCGATTCTGTGCAATACTGATGGCTCCGAAGCGTTCAACGCTGTTGGTGGGGCTTCTTCCTGAAGCCAATCTGGCTGTCCGCTGTTCGGTGCAAATCTTCGGCAGTCAAGGTATGCTTGGGCAACATCGCATGTGTTTACAGTCTGTGAGAAGTGTTGAGGGAAAGCAGAAAAGCCCTGATTATTATGGTTGTCCAGCGCTCCGGGAATAGACCTGTCCAATTGAGGGCATAGGAAAAAGCCCAAGCTGGGGTACGGATGGCCTGAGTTTCTGTCCGCGGGCGTCACCTCCCCAAAGTGGAAATTCTTAGCTGCTTCACTTCTCACTGACTGCGGCCTCTGAATAGGGTTGATGGAAAGCTCCTTCTTGTGAGGCCGGTGCAGCACGTGATTTTCCAGTATGAAATCCCTCTGGCCTTCCTGCTGTGCCTCCATCCGTTGCTCTTCGGTTGCAGAGCCACTATCCGTTTTCACTTGCTTCAACGCCTTCTGACCATTGAACAGCAGTGGAAATGTAGGGTGAAGCAGGATTTCTTGCAAGCGAGTAGAATGGGAAGGAAGCTGAGAAGGTATGACCAGAAATGGTGCACGAATGGAGGAACACGCCAACGCGCCGACTCTTCGTTGAGCAGAAAGTTCTTTCTGCTGCACAATAAATTCTTGATGTTTTCGATCCAACCGCTCCAGCGTCGAGTCTTCATGTGTTGTCGCCTCGTTGAGGTGCTGGACGCTTAGCTGCTGCGCGCTTCGATTACCCAAAGGGAAGTGGGCCTTCAGCTGTTCAGTTGGTTCGGAGCCGCCAGCGGCTGCGCTGTTGGCTGCAGCGTCCACGAGAAAGCCTTCTAAATTCATGACCTGCTGATAAATCGGGGCGTCAGCAGGGGCTGCTGACCGTCTTATGACGGCTCGAAACGCATGCAGAACATGAGGAATGAAGTCAATGAATGCAGTTTCCTCAATTTGGCACTCTTGCAGTTCTCTCTGTAGCGTAGAACTTGCTAGCTCTTCATTAGTAAGAGCATGCTGCTGTCCGGCGGGATTTGAGGTGCAATCAGGCGCGCTCGACTGCACTGTTGCTGCTTCATGAATGCCCTCTTGCTGATTGCTCAAGCCTCGGCAGGGGCCTGTAAGAAGAGCTTCGTCCGCTCTTTTCATGAACTCATCTCTGCGCGCTTTGGCCTCCAACAGTTTGAGCACAAATTGCGCTGCATGAATTAGTTCACCCGGGGCTGCTCGTTCTCCACTGTAGTTGAACACTGAGGCCGCCGCTCCCCGTTCTGCTCTGTAGAGCCGTGGGTTGGAGCAGACAATGTTCACAGTTGAAAACTTCAAGTTGGCATTTTGAAGAAGCTGTGGCTGCTGGATCTTGTTTGATAGACTAGCAAGTGCGGCCAGTTCTCTGCGTTGCTCCTGTTGCCGCTCTGCGTTTTCCAACTCGCAAGCAGCAGCTTGTGGCTCGCGTTTCCCATGACTTGCAGTTTCCTCCAAAGACTTTACAAGGCCTTCAGGACTGTCTTCAGCATCTGTGGAAGCCGACATGGCAGACTGCTGGCGAGCCTCTTCCAGTCGCTGCGGGGGCTCGACGCAGTCATTTTGGGTGACTGTCTCGGTTCCCGCCCTTCGTCCAACATTTTGAGATTTCGGCAGCAAAGGCCAGTGAGCAGCCCACTGCTCACTCGAAGAAGCATTCGCGAGGACAGTCGGCGGAGGTCTTTGAAGAGCTTCAGAACCAGGAAGAGGTCGCTTCCGGGCGGCTGGGGCCTCCCGTTGCGGCGCCGCTTTTCCGCGCCTCACAACTGTCGTCCATCTTGGTCGCTTGTCCTGCTTCTCCATTCGCGCGTTAGTTGTGCAGTCTCCGACTTGGCAGTATGCTGGAAAAAGACTGCAGTGCACAGCTGTCCACTTGCAGTTGGACAGCTAGTTAAAGTAGTGTTGAAGATTCCATTAACAGTGAAGCTCGACCAATGGAAATTCCGTGAGGGATCGTTAGGCCATTTAGACCACGTCAAACAGGGACCATGCGCACTCGCGGGAAAACGCCACGGTGGATGGCGTGCAGCTGTCGCCACAGAAGGTTGAACGGTTTCGCCAGTCAAGAAAAAAGCCAAGTGAGACAGAAAGCGTTGGCCTTATGAGTGATTGGCCCTAAAGAAATCCATACGATTACTGCCAGAGTGAAAGGGACTTTCTGGCAAGACCACTTCAAGTATATTCCCGGGAAAATCTGAATGCAATAGGAGGAAAGACGCAGAGAGTCGCTGGGAGCCGATTGGAAGCACTCTGTGGACGCTCATTGCAGATCATTTGTCACTTCTCCTCAACAATTAAAAGAAAACGGTGCGATTTGCTCTAATTGGTACTTCAAGTGATAGCCACATCAAGTGGCTTCCTTGCATCGATAGTGGTCAAACTGTTGTGAGGTGAACAACACGGATCTGCCTGATGATGTGCTTACACCCCATCGGCAGTCTGTACTGCCTCCGCGGAATAGAAGATCTCTAAGATGTTGAAGCATGTAGTTAAGATAAATTCAGTTTATATATGGGATAGTTGTCTATGTTACCCCATGTAAAGAGCTGAACATGCAGGTTACAAGCATGTGCAGAACATGTTCGACAGAGCTAGACAACAGAGCTAACGTGCGTGTAGCGGCCTTGCGTTCAAACTAATAAACATGAAAACCCTTCACTTTTTCACATATTCTATTTGGCTGCTTGATATTTGATGTTCTGAACGCCAAACAAACGGTTTCACTCAAAGCCACGATTTTTCGGCATCCACTGACTAGCAGGGAACCAAAGGCATTCTGGGCATTGCTGGTGGATACTGCAGATTCGGACGTAGTGAAAAAAACATCGATCCAGGAGTTTTTTCAGTTGTTGGCCTTTTCTGTAGATGGACAGATTTAAAAGGTTGCGTGAGGGACGGATAATCAACGACATTGCCAGGGTCGTCTGAACAGGGCAAGGACCTAGGAGCGAACATAGCCCCTTGAGTGTTCCTGAGACAAGAAGTGTTTGTGAGGGTTCCTGAGACAAGAAGTGTTTGTTTTTCCTAGTTTAAATCTAAACATCAGCCCTTCAACGGAGACGGTGTGGTGGCCGCTGCTCAAATCATGACTTCATAAAGTACTTGAAGATGGGTTCATACACGCCTTTACGTTCACTGGCCCCCAACAATCAGCTCAACGGGCTCTCTGCTCGGCTCGAAAAATCATGCAAAAATGTATTGCGATTTTATGGAGAGGTGTCGAATGCATACTTTAAAAAAAGGCCGCTCCACTAAAATAGTCTCAGCAGCTCGATTGTATGCAATGTGAAGTACAAGTGATGAGGCATGAAAGAAACGAGAGTCCACACCAGATGACTCAAATCATACGAATCAGGCACAAGAAATGTAGGGAGGAGAAAGCACGAACTGGGCTTTTGGACGGACTTGTTAGTGTTACTCAGGGAGCTCACGACATACATCACAGTTCGGAATACATCACAGTTCGAGATCCGCAAATGATGAATAATACTGCGCAGATCAACCATAACTTCATTACGTGTGAAAAAGCGGCAGATTTTGGACAATTCGCAAGAAGTTCAACAAATTGGCTGAGATGATGAGAGCCCCATGCTCGCAGCTTTTTACTGCGATACCTGCTAAAAGCAATGCACCAAACAGAGCAAAAGCTGGAGCAGCTCGCAAATGAAACACACAGGATCAAAAAGAAAAATGAACTCGAAGTCATATCGTCGCACACTGCAGATTTACTTGGAGCATCAACTGCTGCAACGTTATGCTTGTGCGGATGTAATGTGCAAGTGAAGCTTGCTCATACAATGCTTCTGCAATTGTGTCGGCCCTCGCTTTCCATAGTTGCCACCCAAAGTTACTCAGCGAATGGTTGTGACCTTGTAAAGCTGTATGAAGCTTCCCACCGCCTTACCGCGAGCCCAAGGAGCAGAGACATTGAGGCCCTTCTGCCCACTGGCCGACCCTTAAGATACTGACAGAACGTAGGGAGACTTGTAAGACACCTTAAGAGTTGATTGCTCAGACCTACCTGCAGCTGTGGCTACAAAAGTTTCCAGACACTTTCACTGTCGCGCTGAAGAAAGAACCGGGGAGACAGTTAGCCAGACTGACCCTGTATAGACCCTTTCCATGTCCAGAGTCGTCTCTGATCATCACATTGGGAAAACCAGGCTTTTTCCTTGCCAAACAGTTTCATGGGTTACTTTACTGTGCAATTGAATGGGGTCCAGAGCACCTCGAGAATTTTCGGTTGCATCAGAGGTAGCAAACTCCTTAGGGGGAGGAGCACGTTGAAAGCAAGATTGCTGCACTACCAGATAGACACATGAAAATCGAGGAGCTGCGTTAGTTAGTGTGTCTGTTTTTCTATGTTCTGACTTGCTTCTCCAGGCCTTTGGAAGATGCGCCCGCTTCCCTACCAAGCAACCGGAAACCATCATCAGCACCCTGTACAATCGATGGCACCCATGCTAGAGTATCTTTTCAACATTTTCCTTGGGAAACATTGACTTCTTTAGGCTGTTTCGCTGTTTTGTCATTTTGAGCAGAGACATCTTCATAATGCTTATTAGCTTTTCAACCGTACGGTGCCACGCCACCATCACTGCCGGTGCTGTTATTGTCGTGCACGGGGACTACAATGAGTCCTCCGCAAGGCCTGCAGAGGTCAGTGATGTGACAGAATAAGAGGCTTGTTAAATTTAGCCAGTTTACACGATTACAGAAGCCTTAGGGGCCTCGGCAGCAGGAAAGCGGGCCCTGGGGGCAGGGCTCGCCCAACGGGGAGGCCAGGGAGCTGACCTACAGAAAGGTGTGTCAGTGTCATATTCCGGAACTCTCTTTTTGAATACTTAAACATCGAGAAATGTTAGTTGGAGTTTTCTAACTTTTTGGGGAGAATTTAGAGAAGAGAATCGAGTCCTGGGGCATACCTGTTCGTCAGCAACCACAGACGTAGACTGAAGCATATGTACCATGTGTGAAAGAGAGCCCACTACCAGTGCCACAGAGGACGGCTCAATGTGTCTCTTCACGTAGGCTAGCCCTTTACATCTGACTCATACAGAAACTTATCTTCGAAGCTGTGTCACACTCAATCACAAATCACAACGCGCTTCCCGGGAGCCCCACGTTGTTTGTTGGCTGCTGGCGCTCTGCCCAGACAAGCTTCTGCAGCAGCATCGATGTACTACCGCCAGTCAGTCCGTAGACTGCGAGTAACTCCGCTAGCTATCGACTACAATTAAAGACACAAAATTAGATATTTGCGTGCTCCGGTTCCGTAGCAGCCCGGGTAACAGCAAGGTCGGCAGAAGAATCCATAACCATTGGCTCTGGCGGATGTGCAGGCTTGCATCAGAGCTGGCAGCGTCGCAGTGCCCAAAGCAACCTCAATTTGCAAAAACATATTGCTGGACAATAGTAAAATGTCCACGGCAGGGTAAATAAGCGAAGGGGTAGGACGCCCTTCACACTCCACGTTCATCTTGCGATTAGCGGCGCATTGCTTGCGCTAGTCTCCCATCTAAGGACGCCTCTGAGAGTGCACGTGGAAAAGGGCTTCCGCCGTTAGCAGGACTCATGACCGCGGTACCGAACACCCTCCGGACAGGTGTAGCAGCGAGAGATGACCCAGAAGCTGTATATATGTTGATACTTCACGACAAGGCGCAAATCTGGCATACTTGGCATCAGTATTCTGAGTATGGCCTACACTGGAAATTGGTTACCACAGCGCCAGGCTGTATGCTTTCGTTGTGCAATATTGTGCTCAACAGTATCAGTGTTGCGAAGGATTTTGCTCGCTGAAAAGTTATCGAAAAAAATGCAAATGAACACCTGCTGCTAAGTAAAAGCCAGCCATTCTCAAGAGACTCCTGGAGATACGCGCGTTTGCTTCCTATGTTTTCTCCTGCTTCCCGGGTTCAACATGATAACGCATCTCAGCAAATGATGAGCACGAAAACGTAGATCCCGCATCCTCGCCTCGAACGCTAAATCTCAGTGCCGTTTCACTGCTCAGTGTCAACACTCTTTGGAGATGGCAACATTTTACGTCTTGGCTCTAAGCCACACTACATGATAGAGCAGATAGAGAACCGTGTTCGTGTTCGGTTTCAGAGAAAGCACACACTGCATTGTATGCTAACAGCAAACCCCGTAAAAGCCGGGCGATAAGGTCTCCCCAGAGTCATTATCTCCATTTGTTGGCGCTAATTTTACCCGCTTGTCAGAATATAAGACGGAAGCAGGCACACTTCCTCTGCAAGCGGATTGCAGTCTGCCCGCAATGACCTTGGAGGGGCCCTCTGCTTGATTTTGTTGTTTTAGTTGACAAGCTGCTAGCATTGCATTCGAGGAAACCCACTCTATCCATCGCACCGACGCCATTCGATCTTACACATTATTTTTTACCGTCGAAGTGTCGAGCAAGAAGGAAATGTACGACAGTACTTAGAGACTACCATTTGCTATGGTGTAGGGCTGCTAAAAGTTAACACGAACGCTTAGCCCAGCACCTCTGGAGCCCTGTGTTTCAGTGGTATTTCTACTTCAAGGAATAGTTGACTAGCTAAAATGCGTCGAAGTTTTGCCATCAGCTCAAAGCTTTGCGATTCGACGGCTGAAGACAGTATTTCACACACACACATCTAAGCACTTGCTCGTAAGTCCTAGTTGTAAACGTTAGCCCCTGACAGCAACGTCGCGGCTTCCATGTGTATCTTCGTATGAGCAATAGATGAATTATGTAAACTCCGGTTGCTAATTAAAGTTGAAAGGCTCCAGAATCCCTAGCTCGGATGCGTTTG